ACCTCAGGGGTTCACAAGTACCACACCTCATCAACTTCGGCCGAACACACACTCTCCCTCCAACCAGTATCGTGTCAGCTCTTGGTTCCCTCGGCTGTCAGGGTTCAGCTCAGAGGTTCAGAGTTGACGTTGGTTCCTTGTACAAAGTCGTGTCAACTGAGAGCCCCTGAGGCGATCCCTGAATGTCGCTGGTCCTGACACACGACACCTGTTGGGCTAGACATGTTGACGAGGTGGTGGTGGTGGTGGTGGTGGTGGTGGTAAAGAGACTTGAGACCTTCCTGGTCTTACAACATCTGCGGGAAAGACGTCGTTTAATCCCACCAGGAAGGACTGGTGGACACACACACACACACACTCCTATATCAGAACTTATCGCCGCTGCAGACTAAAGGCGTACGAGGCGTCTCTCTGGTGTAGCGTCTGCCTCTACTGATTGCTCGTGCTGGCGATCTCTCTTACGGTATGAACGTCCGTCTGCAGTAGCTTCCATAAACATGTTATTGAGGAATGGCAGGAACATCAAATACTGTTATTGTTTGTTCTGTTGTTGTTCTTACCTCTACGACGGTCCATCACACCAGGTATAACTCAATCACCGACCTGGTTATTGAGCGGAACACCTGAGCGCTGCATTAACCATACTCACTGACCCATTCCCACGCCCTTGGACAACTCACCATTAATCTTGTATGTTCTCTCAAGTATTAACTATGATCTTTGTTTTTGTCTTGGTCACCCTCGTGTTTGGGATGGCCTTCCTTGACTCATGTCTGAATGTAGATCACACTTCTCTGTAATAATTGGTCAACTTGTATGTTTTTTGTTAAGCCGTGTGAGCTTATGGGAACCCCTGGAGGATGGGATTTACCACAGTATGATCCAGTTACTAAAATGTCAAATGATATCGTGACGCTTTACCTCGACGTTGTATCTTGTAAGGTGTGACAAGTTGAGTCATACACTACCGTCTTTCTCCGTTAACGTAATGCGTCATCCATCATTCCTAATGGTTAGATCTTCCTCGTAGCAAAAGTTCCAGTAACAGGTAAACAACGGATCAGTAACACATATTTAACGTATTTCTCAACCTTGGTTTAACTCATCTCTTGTATATAAAGTTAAGTGTTACCTAGAAATGTGTCCTATCTCACTCTTACTCTCAGTTTGAACTCTTCTTAAATATTGTCTCTCACTTTCACTCTCACCCAGTACCTGTCCCAAACACCCCCATCTGTCACTCGCCCTCTCACTCGGTACTCGCATGGACGTCACTCGCTCTCACTCTCAATAGGTACTCACTCTGTTCACTCGTTATCACTATATTATCTTATCTTCTGTCTTCACCATTATTCAACTACAGTTCTACACGACGCCACCACCTCCCCTATACGGCAGGGTACTCGTAGGGCAAGGCAGGATAGAACGTGATAAGGATAGCACGTAACAGGGTCGTAGAGCATGATAAGGTATAGGGCAAAACAGGGTAATACATAGCCGGGTAGGACATGGTAAGGTAGAACATGGCAGGGTTGGGTAAGGCAGGGTAGGTCCTGGTAGGGTAAGGAAGGACATGGTAGGGTATGGCACGACAGGGTATGACGTGACAGGATATGGCATGACAGGGTATGACATGACAGGATATGGCATGACAGGGTAGGACGTGACGGATGATGGGTATGAGTGGGGGATCCCCCGGGTAGGTGGGTGTGGTTCCTCGTTCACTAGAATGTAGATGAACCGTCACACGTCAAGACCAGGTGATGCCCCCCCCCCACCCCACCCCACCCCACCATCAGCCACCTCAAGGTCATCTGCTCCATGGCGACACAACACCTCCTGCGGCCACTGATAACACCTTCGTAAAAAAAAAGTAAAAACATCAATATATAAAATCCTTCTACTCTTAGACGTTAGGATCCAATGTCTTCTATGTGGTAATTGTATCCCATAAAATCGACTTCATGGCAAAGCTGAAGGCGTCGCAGAAGGAGGAAGGGAGGTGATTGAGATACCATTATTAACCCTGAGAAAGTTTGTGAGAGAAGTTTCAGGTATCATTACATAAACAAAACACAGGTACTCATAAAACTTCTTCTGTGTTAAACTTCCCGTCAAGGCTAAACTTCCCTATATGTTCATCTGAGTCTGGATCCTCCAACACCTGTATGGTAATTCCCTCATTTAAATAGAGCAGCTAGACCAATGTTATCTGCACCACTTAAGTTACAATACAAACAACAAAACCAAGAACGAGTCTGATTTACAATGGAATTCGACCTTAAGTAGACAGGTTGAGTAGTTTTTCGAGTTTTAGGTGGGGGAGGGGAGGGGGGGTAGGGGGGCTTTAATGGCCCAGGTAAGACACCACTTGTATTGTTATATCTCCATGTAACTATTTATGTACAGTCGCTTGCACTTACACCTGGTACAGTGGCTGATGCGTTTTGTGAGATGTGGCAAAACTGTGGAATATTTATCTAGTGTTCTTACTCTGGTTACTATTGCGAGGTTCCTTAGTGCCTCTCCGTGTGTAAGAGGACGCGGAGCCAGGGAGGACGACCCCGAGCCTAGCCCTACAGCCGCCCATACTAACACAAGGTCATGTCACAACAGGGGAACTCCCGTGATGGAAAACGATACTTTGACTATATGTCTGTGAGGGAGAGAGAGGGGGGTAGACAGTGTGAGAGAGAGCAGTGTGAGAGAGAGGGGGGGTAGACAGTGTGAGAGAGGAGGGGTTAGACAGAGAGAGAGAGAGAGAGAGAGAGAGAGAGAGAGAGAGAGAGAGAGAGAGAGAGAGAGAGAGAGATAGATAGAGTCGCTGAACACTGCCTCAAAAACATCATCAACACAACAGTCTTATATCGAAAAGTGTTTACCGTCTCTTGAACACTATGAGTACGTGAACATTCTGAGTACGTGAACACCCTCAGCACGTGAACACCCTCAGCACGGCCCAGGAGATTTGTCAATGAACAACGAATAAATTTCAAATATGATATTACCCAAACTTAGATTCCGACAACTTATGGCGCCACAAAAACCTAGGAAGAATAGTGCTACCGACTGTCCATAGCAGAAGGTCATCGCCGAGTATATATACTGGCGTGGACAGACGGAGGCATCAGCTACTGTCCTGCACCCACACCAACATGAAGGTCCTGGTGAGTACTGGTCCTCCTCCCTACACATGAGGTCTGGCTTGTCACCTTATCTCTCTAAGCAAAAGGAGAAATTATGTATAAATATCAATGTGTTTATTTGTAGTTCTGTATTACAGCTTTATAATTTAACTAAATAAGCAAGTGAACAATGTTCTACCTTCACTCTGTGCATCACTTGTTCTCTCTTCCCAATTGTTCACTCTAAACAAAAGAACAATCCTATAGTTCACTAACACACGTCTGGTTCTCTGTTGAACATGTCTTGACTAAACAAGAGAAGCCTTTGTGTGTTAACTTGTTGTTGTTACAGATGATGATTGTGTTGGGCGTGGTGGCCATGGCTGCCGCCCGTCCGTCTGACATCATCGACATCGAGGAGGACCACATGGAGCACGAGCAGGAGGGCGTCCCAGGCACGGCCGTCGAGGGCGAGTACTCGTGGGTAGCGCCCGACGGTAACGAGTACAAGATCAAGTACGTCGCCGACCACTTAGGATACCGCGTCGTCGAGGACAACGTCGTGCCTCAGTTCCGCGCCCTGGAGGTCGCCGATGATACTGCCGAGGACGACGAGGAAGAAGAGCCGATAACCCGGACAGCTGAAGACGAGGATGAAGAGAAGCCTGAAGTTGATTCATCTGAAGAGGAGGAGGAGGAGGAAGAAGACAACTAGATATACAAATAATTCAGAAAGTAATGACGGAAACTTAACGTCAACAATGCACCACTGTCTGGTAACTTGCCAAAATAAAGTATATTTTTCTAACCCATTATTGTGTGTCCATAAATCTTACCACAACACCTATCAAATATTAAATAAACAAAGTGACAATGTCCCACAAGGCGCGAACTATTTACCTACACTGTTTTTGTTGACGCTGTAAGAACCACACTGAAGAGGTCAAGTTACACAGTATAAATCTTTCCTTTTAAGTAGTCAGTGTTGTGTAGGATAGGACGTCACTCACGTTTTGACTATATATAATAATTCAAATACAATATTAATTTGATCCCGTGTTTGAAGTATAAGGATGATGCAGGTAACGATTTATCTTAGCTATTTTCATTATTATATTTTCATTTAAGATATTTTAATTTAATTTGTTCTATATTATTTGTTTGTCTACAGCAAAGTTTGAGCCAAATTTTACTGAAATATCATTTATATTGATTAACTAGTGTGTGTGTGTGTGTGTGTGTGTGTGTGTGTGAGTGTGTGTGTGTGGTTGTCCTTTGGTTGAACTAGCTTATTGTTTACTTTTGATTGTATGTCTGCACGGTGTGTATACCATACATACCTGCACCTATAAACACTACGTACTGAATCAAAGTGAATTTGTTTGACGATTTTACTGAATAAATATCTATTTGTTAAGAAGTTCATATAGGGAGGGAAGAACTCGTCGTTACAGCGGAAGATCAAAATAAAGAAACAACTTTATATCAGATAAATTTCACTTTATGTAGGAAGACGACACTGTATGGTTACAGGTGTCACTCCTCTCTGTATTCCATAAGACCAGAAACGGTCAGGTGTGCTCTCGTCTGTATATTGTCATCATAAGGAATCATCAATGGTCTAAACTCCCTAAAATAAAACGATAAGATAGAAACCGGTAATTAAATCTTCACAAAAAACAAAAAAATCTAAACCGGAATCACACAGCCCAAAACTGAAGGTCATAGCCGGGTATATAAAGTGGCCGGGACAGAAGGAGGCATTACCTACTGTCCTGCACCCGCACCAACATGAAGGTCCTGGTGAGTGCTGACCTGACCCTCCACACAACATCTGGTCCTGGTCTGAGGTCTTTATAGTTATAAATAAGCGATGAGGGACTCTAACATTCAATGTGTTTGTCTGTATTTGTAAACTTTTGGCAGCAGGGGAAGGGTGAAGAAAATAGATACTGGTTGATGGGTGACACATAGAGAACCAGTTGTACAATTACTCCTGGTTTTTGTGACTTTGAATATTGTTGTTGCAGATGATGATTGTGTTGGGCGTGGTGGCCATGGCCGCCGCCCGTCCGTCTGACATCATCGACATCGAGGAGGACCACCTGGAGCACGAGCAGGAGGGCGTACCAGGCACGGCCGTCGAGGGCGAGTACTCGTGGGTAGCGCCCGACGGTAACGAGTACAAGATCAAGTACGTCGCCGACCACTTCGGATACCGCGTCGTCGAGGACAACGTCGTGCCTCAGTTCCGCGCCCTGGAGGTCGCCGATCCAGCTCCCAAGATAGAAGAAGAAGAAGAGGATGAGGAGCCAGTGATTCGAGACTCTGATATGGAGGAAGAAGAGATGATTGACATTCGTGCAGCTGAGGACATGAAGAAAGACGAGGAAGACAAATAGACAAGACTATGTAAAATGTCTCCTGTCTTCCGTTGTTTCTTCACCTCAGGGAGTTGTGTTGTTCCCTGCATTACCTTCTCTCTGTAATTCATTTTCGAAATAAAGAATATCTGTGCCACACTTTAGTTTCAGTACAAAGCTGTAGACTTATAGAGGTTTGTTCAGCTTCCAGCAATCTGACATAAGTGATGCCACACGTTTAACCACAGGTTGTGAGGCATCAACAGCTGACAGCCTCGTCCACCAGTCTGGGTTTTTGTTGTCTTTGATTTATTTTTTTTTTTATTTATTATATTTTTTTTTTGTAATGTCAAGCTGGTAATTAGCCTTTATATAAACATCATTACACGTTATATAATAAGTAAGTATACACACAGAGACGTACAATAATGATCGACTTACATGACTAACTTGGTGCTGACTGACTCTTTTAACCTCAGTAGTCTCTAAGTTTCTTCCTCAGTGTTGCTACTTAGAGGAGAGACTGAGAAAAATACATCAAGCCTTCTCAGGGAACTTTTTGAAAAAATTCTGGTACTTTTAAGAGAACAACTGAAACTATTAGGAGTGAATCTGGTCACCTGGCAACCTGACCTGGAGTTCAATTGTTCAATAATCAGTGTTCAGAGTTCTGTGGCTTTCAGGTGTTGTAGCGGCGAAAGTGTTCAAGTATATGATTTAGTCTAGTGACGGAACCTAAACATCATTCGTTCCTTAACACATTACAACATCACCATCAACCTATGTTTATGTTTACACCGTGGTATGAGTCGGTGGATCTCAGCAGGAGTCTCTCTCTACCACACACCAGATCATCCTCGAGGTAGACTCATGACCTCAGAGATGGAGGCTTTTCATCTTCTTAGCTGTTCTGTCTCTTGAAGAAACATAAAGTTAACGTTGATGTTGTAAAATAACCAACAACTACATGATGTTCTTAATAATATCACCAAAAAGGTCAAGATGTTAGTAAGCAATGAAATCTTGAGATGAATAACAGAACTTCTCGATGGCTTGTTAACAGAGAGATAGTCAGCCAGTTAACAGTTTCTCTCTCTAACTCGCGCTCAGTGGACGAGATGAATTCAAGATTAACTTTGCTGTAACGTTACTAAATCGGTATTAATAATTGGAGGTGATCAAGAAATTCTCATGGACGACAAAACTGGTCAGATTTCTTAATAATATCTTGGCTGTCTTTTGTATCAAAGTCTTGAGATGGTGAGCAGGTGTGTAAGGGGGGGCAGATGTGGGGGCAGGTGTGTGAGAGGGGTAGCCAAGGTAAACTAGGTGTTTTGTTGACCATCAAGCAGCGTTCCTCTGCCTTCCACCCTCGGCTCCCTGGCCCCTCACCTCACACACCCTCGCCTCACTGGCCCCTCACCTCACACACCCTCGCCTCCCTGGCTCCACACCTCACACACCCTGTTTCCTGGCCCCTCACCTCACACACCCCGCCTCCCCTGGCCCCACACCTCACACACCCTCGTCTCATGGCTCCACACCTCACACCTCGCCTCCCTGACCCCTCACCTCACACACCCGCCTGCCTGGCCCCTCACCTCACACACCCGCCTCCTGGCCCCTCACCTCACACACCCGCCTCCCTGGCCCCTCACCTCACACACCCTGCCTCCTGGCCCCACCTCACACACCCGCCTCCCTGGCCCCTCACCTCACATACCCTCGCCTCCTGGCCCTCACCACACACCTTCGGCCCCTGGCCCCACACCTCACACACCCTCGCCTCCCTGGCCCCTCACCTCACACACCCTCGCCTCCCTGGCCCCACACCTCACACACCTTCACTTGTCTATAAGAAGTCATAGAATACTTATGAGGAGTTAAATATATTTCCTCGCAGTGTCCTCATGCTCTCAACCATCTTCCTCAAAGACAAAGAAAATGAAAAGAAATATGATAAAGTGAAAACAAATTTATTCCCATCTACTGATGTTACAGATAAGTGGTAATTAATGATCACGTACTGTAGCTGTTACAGACAATGGACAGACGTGTACAAGGGTTGTGATGTTCTGTTTGCTTGTTACAGTGGCTTCAGGGCGCCGGTCGTGGAGGTGCTCGTCGCGGAGGTACTTGTCGTTTATTCTTCCTCACTTGCGTCCGTGATGTCGAGGGAACGAGTTCTGGGCACGACGTTGTCCTCGATGACGCGGTATCCAAACCTGTCAGCAATGTACTTTACTTTGTACTCATTACCGTCGGGCGCTACCCACGAGTACTCGCCCTCGACGGCCGTGCCTGCGACGCCCTCCTGCTCGTGTTCCTGGTTGTCCAGCTCGTAGTTGATGATATCAGCAGGAAGGGCGGCAGCCATGGCCACCAACCCCAACACGACCATCATCTGTAACAACAATAAATATAGTCATGTCTTCCCCTCTGTTCAGGAGTCATGAAGTGTTAAACTGAAATATACAGTGGACACAGGTAAGTAACGACACAACTTAATTTTACCATAAGTGTCAAAGAGTTGAAGAAGGTATCATAAATGTTCAGGTGGACGACACTCTCCTCCTCTGAAGTCATAAACATAAACTCTCAAAACAACACAACACAACACAACACAACACAACACAACACAACACAACACCTAAGGATCCGTAGACGACAGTTCTAAGGTAAACTCCATTCTTATTTAGAGTAATGTAGAGTTCACCAGAGACCTGTAGCCAATGTGTAGAGAGGAGCTCAGTACTCACCAGAATCTTCATGACTGTGTGCCTTCAGGATAGCAGCTGGTGCCTCTGTCTGCCTCGGCCACGATATATATACACCCGGAGCTCGTCCTTGATGGCCCTCAATAACATCACCTGCAGCAGTCTGTCCCGCTCACAAGTCAGGCCAGTCACGCGACCTAACTGTCCCGTATGAATCACTGGGTGTGGGTAGGTTAGGTTATCGTCTACCGTAATTATTGTACCTTGCTTGAGTTCATATTTTTGTTCAGCCGCACGCGAGAGGTTGGTCGGTCTGAGGTGTTCTTTCGCTGCTGAATAAAATTGTCAATATAGTTATGTTTGGCTTGGGCCAGTGTGTGTGTGTGTGTGTGTGTGTGTGTGTCTGTGTGTGTGTGTGTGTGTCTGTGTGTGTGTGTGTGTGTCTGTGTGTGCGTGTGTGTGTACAAGCGCGTAAACACGCCTACATAATCACTTGAAGAGAGAAAGATAAACTTGAGAAAATTTTAAACGAATTATTCAAGTAACCCTCAAGATAAAATATTTATTAATAACATATAATTCACACTAAAATAGGAGAGACATTGAGGACAAATTTACATACAGAAAATTATATTATCCTCATTTGTTAACAGGATAAAATATATCACCATATAATCTTCTATACTAACACAACACCAATCACGTCAGAATGTATCGATGTTGAGGAGCTAAAATTGGGTTATGACGTCAAATGAGAGACAGATAGACAGACAGACAGGCAGAAAAACAGACAGACAGACAGACAGACTAAAATTTAGGTCCACTAAATCATTTTTAGAGGTTTATAAGTCTTCATATGATTTATTCCACTAGATTATATTGTTTTAGAAATATCACCAGTCTCTCCCCCCACACACTCACCACACGCGGTCATAAAACTCCATATGTGTTCACATCACCACCACACACTCAAGCGTCAGACAAACTTCACTCTAGGATCTTAATTATAGTCTAAATTCTTCAAATATCTCACAACACAAATCAAATTCTGTATAATTGGAATTTTAAATATAATGTTATGTAAAATAATACAATATAATGGGTCATAATTTCACTCTGAGGAGACAATATGGTATTAAATAATGTCATAATATCTACGACGTAAAACTTTAGTTCTTTCTTAAAATTTATGATTCATTCAGTGAAGGAAGTTAAGAAAAGGGGAAAATGTATACACCAAAAGCCTGTGTATGTGTTTGTGTGAATGTTAGTCTGTTGTTGTTGTTGTTGTTGTTGTTGTTGTTGTTGTTGTTTTATTCCCGTCGCGACAACAAAATCCATCTCGTTGAATTTACATATTTAAAGTTAATACCGACACGACACACCTTTCCAAATCGTCTGTTCTTATTTACATTAATCGAACAACTGAACTACAGGACACACACACACACACACACATACATACACACACACACACACACACACACACACACACACACCACACACACACACACACACACACACATACACACACACACACACACACACACACACACACACACACACACACACACACACACATGTACAGTAGTGCGTGGAGTATATTATTCTCTTAAAGGGACATTAAGGTTCTGTTATTTCCGGGTTTATTTTTACTCTCTGTGTGTGTGTGTGTGTGTGTGTGTGTGTGTGTGTGTGTGTGTGTGTGTTAACTCATGGTCCACATACATCTTTCCCATTCCACCACCTGTACCGCCAGTCGCCACCCAGCCTCCAGTAGCCTCCAGTCGCCACCCAGCCTCAGTCGCTAGCTTCCAGCCGCCACCCAGCCTCCAGTTGCAGCCTCCAGCCGCCACCCAGCCTCCAGTTGCTAGCCTCCAGCCGCCACCCAGCCTCCAGTCGCTAGCCTCCAGCCGCCACCCAGCCTCCAGTTGCTGGTTCCCAGCCGCCTCCCAGCCTCCAGCTAGCCTCCAGCCGCCACCCAGCCTCCAGTCCAGCCGCCACCCAGCCTCCAGTCGCAGCCTCCAGCCAGGCTTCCAGCCGCCACCCCAGCCCCAGCCTCCAGTTGCTAGCTTCCAGCCGCCACCCAGCCTCCAGTTGCTAGCTTCCAGCCGCCACCCAGCCTCCAGTTGCTAGCTTCCAGCCGCCACCCAGCCTCCAGTTGCTAGTTGCCAGCCGCCTCCCAGCCTCCAGTTGCTAGCCTCCAGCCGCCTCCCAGCCTCCAGTTGCCAGCCGCCAGCCGCCACCCAGCCTCCAGTTGCTAGCCACCTGCCGCCACCCAGCCTCCAGTTGCTAGCCGCCAGCCGCCACCCAGCCTCCAGCTGCTAGCCGCCAGCCGCCACCCAGCCTCCAGTTGCTAGCCGTCAAGGAAAAACATTTAATTCACTTTCGTTTTTGTAGGTCTTGTAGCACACGCTGGAGGTCACGCTCTCTCTCCCGTTATCTCCTGCCTCCACCACACCTCCACCACCACACCTCCTCCACCACCTCCACCACACCTCCACCACACACACACACCACCCACCTCCACCTCCACCACCACCACCACCACCTCCACCACCACCACCACACCACTACACACCACCACCACACCTCCACCACACACCACCACCACCACCACCTCCACCACACATCCACCACCACACCTCCACCACCATACCTCCACCACACCTCCACCACCACACCTCCTCCACCACCACCACCACACCTCCACCACCACACCACCACCACACCTCCACCACCTCCACCACACTCCACCACCACCTCCACCACCACACCACCACCACACATCCACCACCACACCTCCACCACCCCCACCACACATCCACCACCACACCTCCACCACACCTCCACCACCACACCACTACCACACCTCCACCACCACACCTCCACCACCATACCTCCACCACACCACTACCACACATCCACCACCACCACACCTCCACCACCTCCACCACACATCCACCACCACACCTCCACCACCATACCTCCACCACACCACTACCACACCTCCACCACCACACCACCACCTCAGTACCACATTACCACGTCTTATACACTTTAATATAAAAACTTACAAGGCAGTACACGAAGCCACTCCTCACCACAACGGCTCTAGTGCTGCACAGGGTTGGGTTCATTATATACTGCACAGGTTCATTATATACCGTACAGGTTCATTATATGCTGCACAGGGTTCATAAATACTTCACAGGGTTCATAAATACTGCACAGGGTTCATTATATACTGCACAGGGTTCATAAATGCTGCACAGGGTTCATTATATACTGCCCAGGGCTCATTATATGCTGCACAGGGTTTAGAAATACTGCACAGGACTCATATACACTGCACAGGGTTCATATACACTGCACAGGGTTCATAAATACTGCACAGGGTTCATGATACAGTGCTCAGGCAAGATTAAATCACCTTAGATCATTTAATTACCTTTAATGTCACCTACTTCTGGGTTACAAAATAAAATTAATAATGTTTTTGTTTCCAGTTTCCAGATGACACTTGTAGACCCAGACAAGTTGTTTAGGGGAACCTGCCTACTCTTGGTGTCTTACAGGTGACCTTGGCTTCAATTATCTCACCTGTCTGCCTGTATTATCACCACTACCTGTCAACCACTGTTACTGATCCTTATATAAACACACATATATACTCACATACTTAGATATACATACACACATATAAATACAGTCACCTCATCAACGTACGGTCGTCTCTCCCCATTTCTCTACCTTCCTTCCCTCCTTCCTTCTCCTCTTCCTCCTCCTTCTCTTCTTCTTCCTCCTCCTCCTCTTCTTCCTCCTCCCCTTCTTCCTCCTCCTCCTCCCGCATTCCAATTCGCTACCATGAGGGAGTTTTTACTAAGGGCGTGGCCGGGGCATCCCCCTCTCCACCACCACCACCATCTTACCCACCTCCACCACCACTACCACCATTACATAAGAACATAAGAACATAAGAAAATAAGGAGTCTGCAATAGGCCGGTTGGCCTGTGCATGGCAGCTCCTGTCGAGAGTTACTACCACTCTCTATCATCCATGAATCTATCTAGCCTCCTTTTGAAACTTTCCAGAGTTCCCGCACTTACTACAAAGTTGCTAAGCTTGTTCCACTCGTCCACCACCCTATTTGTGAACCAGTTTCTTCCTATCTCCCTCCTAAACCTAAACTTATCCAACTTGAATCCGTTGCTCCGAGTCCTATCCTGCTCGGATATTATAAGAACTTTATCTATATCCCCTTTATTGATTCCTTTCACCCACTTAAATACTTCTATCATATCTCCCCGCACTCTTCGTCTTTCTAGGGAATGCAAGTTAAGTTTCTTTAACCTATCCTGATATGGAAGGTTTCTAAGTCCCGGAATCATTTTTGTCATTCTTCGCTGCACCGACTCTAGTGAATTTATATCCAGTCTATAATAGGGGCACCAGAACTGAACCGCATAATCGAGGTGCGGCCTAACTAGCGCAAGATATAGTTGCAATAAGACCTCTGCACTCTTGTTACTTACACTTCTAGATATAAAACCCAATACTCCATTAACCAGTCACCATCACCACCACCTCCACAACCACCACCACCACCATCTTACCCACCTCCACCACCAATACCACCATTACCACCACCATTACCACCATTAACCAGTCACCATCACCACCACCTCAACCACCATCACCACCATCACCACCACTAACTCAATCACCTCCACCACCACCATCACATCAGCCACACCCTGACCGGTTTTTGAGAGTGACTTTTTCGTGAAGAATAAACCAGGTTATGGCGGATGGTTGGAGAGACGAGAACCACCTACTTACTAATTCATAATCACTTATAAGTTTGGTGCAGCAAGTAGAGGCAAGTATCTTTTGTTGAGTTTTACGTGTGTACAGACAGACAGACACAGACAAGCAGATAGAGAGGCAGATACTAACAGAAAAACATAGATAAAATAGAGAAACAAAGAGGAAGAGTGATAAGAGAGAAAACAAAAGAAGACAGACAGACAGACACACGCAGACAGTAACCATACACAGCGCCACACATTCTCACACAAACGAAAGGTCTTAACAATTATCGCTCTGTGTCGTGTATTTATCATTCTCATTGTTTCTCCTCTCCTTCCTCCGTTTCTCTCGTTCATTTCTCAGTCGTCAGCGTCACGTGGCCTGTGGCTGAGTCGTCCCGTGTGCCGAGTGAATGAGCTTGTTGGGTAATTAGCAGCACCACACCCAATGAGGACTTCTATTACTGGAGGATATATACTGAAAGGAATATACTGAATGGTACATCGGAGCATATTCTCAAGGGTATATCGGAGCATATATTGAAAAGTATATCGTAGCATGTACTAAAGGGTGTATCGGAGCATATACTCAAGGATATATGGGAGCACATTTTGAAAAGTATATCGGAGCATATGTTAAAGGGTATAGCGGAGCATATAACGGAGGATATGCTAAATAATAGTAATTAATATACAATATACTGGGATGTGTACCTACCTTACATACACAATTATGGTCAAAAATACTGTTAGTCAAGCATACCTCAAGGTCGACTACTGCCTCCTTCACTACACTCAACACACGTAACCTAACCTAACCTAACCTAACCGAACCTAACCTAACCTAACCTAACCGAACCTAACCTAACCTAACCTAACCTAACCTAACCTAACCTAAACGAACCTAAACATTCATCTGTCTCTCGTAACAATAAAAACTTCAACGTGAATTTTAATATTAATTTTACCAACTGTATTTTTTTTTCCAAAACAAAATGAAACTCTAGGGAAATTTTACACTTGGTTGTGAATATTTCGTAAAAAAAAATTGTCGTGATAATTCTGGTTAAATTTCCCCGTCTCAGTCTAGTTTTTCTTCTCTGGGGAAAAAATCTGGACTGGAGGGATTTTTTTTCACTTCTTTTGTTCTTGTTTCGTCTGGGTTTTTTGTCATTAGTAAGCTGGTCTCTCTCTCTCTCGAGTCCTCTGATATAATCAATTCTGGAGACAAAAGTGTAAGTGGTTCCTCCCCAACCTGGACTAACAATTACCTAATATGGCGCAGGTAACGAGTGGCAGGTTAATGTGTGTGTCTCTGGATCATTAGCGTGTGTGTGTGTGTGTGTGTGTGTGTGTGATAATAATAAATAATAATAATAATAAAAATTAACGGTTTATTGAATGAGCATGGCAACAGGAAGGCTGAAAATATACAGTTACATAATTGAGGAACGAGTCTCTTGATTTACACTATTTTTCACTCATGATTCCTTTTGTTACCTGCTGACCTAAGAACAAGGAAATCATGACTTCACGCATCAACACACACACACACACACACACACACACACACCGTTACTCAGAAACACTCATGACGAACACTAAACTCTCCTCCCTTGTCATACAGTCACTCACCAACACTCACACAGCAACACTTGACAGCTCCGTTATGGCAAACATCATTGAAGGAGAGTTAAAGAAAAATGAACGTGTGTTATATTGCAGTGCTCAACATCCATCATCTCAACAGCCCGGCCAAAACATTCTGTCTCAGGTATCTTGCTTGATCACTTACCTGTCGTTGTGGCGGTCATTCCCACAGTAATCAGTCGTCTCACCTGTCATAGCTCACCTGTCAGATGGAGTAGTTTCGAAGATGAGGGTTTTTTTTGCTATATGGTGTGAAGGGTGTGGTGGTGTGGTGGTGTGATGGTATGGTTGGGTGGTGGTTATGATGGTACAGTGGTTAATAGTGTTGTGGTGTGTGATGGTGTAATGTGATAGTGTAATGACACGATGATGTGGTGATGTAGTGGTGTCGACGGTGTGGTAAAGGTGTGTGGGTTTTTTTTCCTATATGTGTAAATTGACTTCTGAAATCACAGGTGGCGGGGTCCAGAATATAGATGGAAGTACACTGCTCATTATTTAATCTACATGTTAATTAAGACGGTAACAGGTGATTAGTATAGGTGTATGTGTGTGTGTGTGTTTACAAGCGTTCATCTTTGTATATATATTCAATGAGTACGGTATGTGGTCTTCTTTAGATCTGTGTAATAATAATAATAATAATGAATAAGAAGAAGAAGAAGATTAACCACAAATATACACCGGCCAGCCATACGATGTAAATAAAACAAAAGCCTCATACATCACGGGTATAAAAGACATAATGTACAGTGCCGTAAATACATTTGTGTACGGACATGTTTACGAGGATGTGTGTGGTGGTTCAGTGAATTCATCAGCAGTACGTATGTCTGTGAGCAGCAAAATATACACCACCTCTTCTAGGAACCGTGTATAAGACTCACTTACTTCACCCACCCTCCCTCCCTCCCTCCCTCCCAGGACCCCACACGACAACACAACACCTCTTTAAAATTAGCTCCCCCTCCTAACACACCTAACACCTGTAACATCACATATTGTGTTTCAAAATTCACACTTTGTTGTTCATATGTCACTCAGGTCAACGCCGAGAGCTCGATAGTGTTACGCGGCGGTGTACAAAACCTATGACAGCGTGACGACCATTAGTTGTGGTGTAACGTTGATGGATGTCTGTTTAATGTGTTGCACCTGGCGCCCGTCCCGACACCTCACCCTTCCACACGGCCAGGTGTTCCTCTGTCCCTCCTTCTTTCCGCTCCCTCTCTCCTCCCTTCCTCCCTCCCTTCTTCTCTTCCTCCTTCCCTTCCTCCCTCTCTCCCTCTCTGTCTTTTCCTGTCTCCTCCTTTCCCCTTTCCTTTCCACTCGCCTTTCTTTTCGTCCCCTCTTCCTTCGTGTCAAGCTATCCTCTATCCCTCTCTCTCCCTCTCTCTCTCTCTCTCCCTCTCTCTTTGCCTTCTTTCTCTCTCTTGTTTCCTTAGGGATCCTTTTCTTAGTTCAGGGTCATGTTATCGCTGGCCTGGGAGGGTGAGGAACGTTGGAGGACGCCTTGAGAGATCCTTCAAGTATCTTTCAGTCCTGGAGGATATTGTCACCTGCATGATCACGAGGCCAAGTCATTTAGGCCAATCAGGTGTGTCATGTTTACATCTTCGTCACCTGTTGTTTACAAATGCAAATTAGAGGAGTTAAAGATAGAATAATGATAGAGAAAGAAGATGAAAAATAAACAATAATTCTTTCTTGTTTTCTTTCCTTTCTCTCTCTGTTCATATACCGGACCTCCATATCCCGGACCCTCGATATACCGGACTTTCATTAGATGGAAGTTTTACATCTAAGGATCCCTCGATATAACGGATTTCCTTCCCCATTATAGTCCGTTAAGTAGAGGTTTCACGATATCAAACACGCTAAACAAAATAAAGACACTCCCAAACTCCGACCATTTATCCACAATACACCCCTCCCCCCTCCCCCCAACACTGACCAACTCACTCAAGGTGTCAAAGTGCTCACTCCTCCCTCGATCGGGTTGAAGTGAAGGCCTCGTGTCTGGTGAGTGTTGACAGACTGTTTATTATATATGTCAACAAAAACAATGCATATGAATGTGTTACCAAGTAGAGGTAGTGGGGTGGGGTGGGGTGGGGTGGGGTAGGGCGTATCTCCCCCTCCAATGTCCCTCCTCCCTTGGTCCCCCTTCCCTTCCCTCCCTTCCCCCTCCTACCTTTCAGTTTTGTATATAATGAGTCAGGACTCATGACACATATCACTCACCTCCTGCTCTCCCTCACACGTACAGCTTCACCACCGTCACCCAGTGTCTGTTGACTCATCATGAAGGTCCTGTTGGTATGTAATCTCACTCACTCACTTATCTCACACAATAATGGTTGCCCTTCGTGTAACGAGGATGACCGGCCCAAAGGCCACCTAGGCTTGAATTTGTTTAAGGTGTAGAAACTGTCGCCAACACAACAACCACACCCTAAGTTAACGAGCTGCATGGCCCATTGTCAAGGAATAGTCCGAGAAGACCGGACAACTCGCCAACTGCACTGGTTAACCATTACCCCAGAACACGATCCGCAAATAGATTAACGTCTAGGTAGACAGAGGCAAATGGCGTAAAGAAACTTGCCTCAAACTTATCATTGTTTACACCACATAAGTTTTATTTAAGTTATTCTCAATATACCTTATAATATTTACCTTATACCTTAAGATATATGGCTGGGAACTGGAACTTATACTCCCTGTAACTCACGTCATCTAACTTACCTTTCAAGCAAATTCTAATTATATCTTAAGGTGTCTATAATATATCAGATAGTTTCTTATGATAACTAAAATTTTCTTGAGTTTAATTGTATAGTTAATATACTTGAGGAATACGTTTGAAATATATCTTTGCTATATTTTACGATATCTTATTTATATCTTAGATCCTGTTCTGATAACTTACAATTCTGGGTCAGGATATTTCAAGGTGTTGTGTTCAATGTTTCTGGTAATAACTGGAGACACTCCTACAAGGGCTCAGTGAGTCCTTGATCACTGACAGACACAGTATTGTAGCACTGTGATGGATTACAGAAAACGGACACTCGTCGGTGGGTGGAGGAGAAACTAGTGTGTCTCCAGAAGCGAGAGTCTGTCCTGCCCTGATGACTGTGTTCTGTCATGTGTCTTTATGACCTTTAATAATGAAGCCAGGCATTAACTTATTGTTGTTATTGTTACAGATGATGGTTGTGTTGGTCGTGGTAGCCATGGCCGCCGCCCTTCATTCAGACATCATTGACATCGACGAGGCCGACATGGAGCACGAGCAGGAGGGCGTCCCAGGCACGGTCGTCAAGGGCGAGTACTCGTGGGTAGCGCCCGACGGTAGCGAGCACGAGATCAAGTACGTCGCCGACCACTTAGGATACCGTGTCGTCGAGGACAACGCCTGAAGTAGTCGAAACTGATGATGTCAAGGTACCATAAGGAGGCGAGGAGTAGGAGTAGGGGTAAGAGGAGAGGGAGTAGGAGGGGGAGGAGGAGTAGGAGGGAGTGAAGTAGGGGTCAGCACCTCTACTGTTATCATCCTCGTCCACAAGGTTTATTTGGTCTCGTCATAACACAGCACTACTACAGGTGAATTATAAGAGTTTAATTACATATCATATAATAAAGTTTATAGTGAGTATTATTACGACTTTCTCTTATTGATCTACCTGACATTATTAAAAAATGGGAAAGGTCTTTAGTGTTTTAACCCTTTGAAGACGATGATCTAACCCTTTGAGGACGATGATCTAACCCTTTGAGGACGATAGTATATGCCTTTCGTCCTCAAAGAGTTAATATCAGAGAAAAAATTTAACTCTCACCTTTTTAATCAAAGTCATCAGAGTATCCATAATGACATAGGTTCAAAATCTCTAAAGTTCGTAAGACAAAATTATATATAAATGAACCTGAATGTTTGATCTAGGTAAAAAAAAACACAAAGAAAACATTCAACATTAGTTTTAACATTATACACAGGGTCTTCAACTAAACATATGTACACTCACTGCTAGACAAGACAAAGGTATAGAATTATCTGATTTATTTTCGAAAGATCTTGAATGTTTTGTCTTGTCTGTCTTAGTCTGTCTCTTGTAAATGGTCAATATATATACAGACAGAGACACTCAGTAACTCAGTAGCAGTGTGGAGGTGATGACACGAAGTATGACAACACAAGCTGAGTATGTGTGGTCTGTGGCAGGGGTGTGTGTGTGTGTGTGTGTGTGTGTGTGTGCTGCTTCGGGTGTCGGGGCAGTGAGTGGCGGGGCAGTGGGTGGCAGAGCAGTGGGTGTCGGAACAGTGGGTGGCGGGGCAGTGGGTGTCGGAACAGTGGGTGACGGGGCAGTTGGGTGGCAGGGCAGCGGAATGGTGTTGTCTAATGTGAATCTGGGTGGAGTCATGTGACAAGATGGCGGTGCAGCTGTCACATGCAGGAGGGTGAGTGATGTTGTTGGGGTCTCAAGATGGCGTCCTCCTCCAAGAGAGAGAGAGAGAGAGAGAGAGAGCTGTGTAGTTCTTTCTAGCTAATTGATGACTATGTTAAACAACGGTTGTCCATCTGCTTGACTTACGATCGCTCTATTGGACATTCATGTTTGTGTGTGTGTGTGTACGTATCCCATCACCTCTTTCTCGTCCATGTAAGAAGTGTTTATTCCTCACAGACTAATATATAAGTTATTACACCTACAAGACACACACACACACACACACACACTTCCTCCTGTCACCAGCCAGACGAAGAGCACCTCGCCTCCATCACACGGGGATGTGACGGGATGGCCAGGCTCCTCCCTCGAGCATCTACCAAAAACAAGCTCCTATAAGTTATCTACGATTACTTTTTATCTCCGTTTGTGTCCCATATTAAGAATGTAATTGTGTTAACGGGAAGAAGGAGGGGGAGGAGGGGAAGGAGGAGGAGGAAAGTGTAAAAACATGTGTGTTGAAGGCGAGCGAGGCGTTGTGTGAGGCTGTGTTAATGTCGGACACTCCCTCCCTCGACTTACCTCCTCCACTCACTCATCTCTCGCTACTTCCCTCTGCCACTGTCGCCTCTGTCACCTCGGCGCCAAAGGGGTGGGCGCCGGAGCCAAACAGCCCGCTAATTTGTTCTTAATTTGCATAAACACCGCCCTACATTAGCTCCCATACCCCCGCGCGCCACGCCTTTACAGTTTTTGCAATTTTTGTCAACCAAGTTGCAGCAGCAGCAGCGGTGCTCTGCCAAAGCTCAAATATCTCGTTTTCTGTTGGGCTCGACTCCTGAGGGCAGACTACCGTGTACAGTGTGTTGTCGCACCTGTGAAGCGCCAGCCGCCACTACCACAATAACTCCCAGGTGCTTGATGGCCCCAGGTGATACCTCGCCAGAAAGAGGAGGAGGAGGAGGAGGAGGAGGACCTAGCTCGCTGAAATATCACCTCGAGAACCTAAGTAAGCGGCAGCCAGGGGGAGAGGAGCTCCTTCAAATAATCAGAAAGTGTAACTTACACCAGAAACAGTGATGCTCAGAGGAGATAAGCTCTTTCCCTCCTACCCCGCGGCCAACACTGTCACTGAACCGCAGCCCACCATCACAGGCGTATCCCGGCCTCTCCAAGCTGGCGACTTTGGCCCTTGAAACATTCCCTTCTAAGGCACAAATAAACCACCTCAATAGACATGTTTATGCCCCTTTCTGCCAGGCAACACCCCGAGGCAACTATGCAAATGTTAAAAATCGGGAAGTAAATTAAAGTCAGGACCCAAGTCTATCTGTGCAGTATTGCCAAGCGCCTCCTCCCCTCTCTTCCCTCTATTTTTTAACAATGTTTTTATACTCGTTAGTTTTATTAACATTATACAAACATTAATACAACATACATGTATACCTTCATAAAGTTAATACAGTACCTTATGTATTTCATCTAATATATGACTATGAAATAAAAGAATTTGTTATAATATTTATGTTATTTTTTATGCATAGATACAAACAAAACAGATAAAATCACTATAAATATTCTTTAGTCCTTTATCATTCATCTTCTTCCTACAAAACTTCCTTCTATGCTTAGTCACATTGCTCTCAGCGTCAATATGTTCTGCAAGTCTATGAGAAAGATAATCAATGAGACAAGGTGAGATACAGGTGTTTTAATTAGTACATTGATTGACGTAGGTGAGGCCAGCACACTACGTCACTCAGGTGTTGTCATTAGTAATAGAATCTATCTTCTGATAAACCTAAACCAAGTCAGGTATATTGAAAACTGGTTTAGTTAGACACAAAACATTTTATACATGGACTTAGGTTATTAATGTACGACTATTTAAGAGTTAACTAACCACTTGTTACGTGTAGTGTGTAAAGGTGATTGAGTGTTAGTTGGTTAATGACTCAGTGGTTAGTTTAGTTAAATCATTTTGGTTTTGTTTTGTCTTGTGTAAAGCATAATTTGATAAGAAGTGTTTTTTTTATGATATTAAATATTGAAGTCACTCGACCACGAACAGCCAATTAGCTCACAAGGTTGTTAAGGGCGGCAGGAATTGATTGAGCATGTGTGTGTGTGTGAGTGTGTCAAGAAGACGACGTTTACATTGTGTCAATAAGCCAAGAACACAATAAATGAGACAGATTATTAGAGACTTCCAGACATTCATTAGATTTAAGAGACTTATTTATTTACAAGTTTGACACTGTGATAACTCATGGCACACAGGTGAGTAGTCGGTGGTCAGGTAGTTAAGGCAGAGTACATCTACGGGGCGTCACTTGAAGGGGGTAGCGGGAGGAGGCAGTGCTCACGGGAGGGTCAGAGCCGAAGTGCAAAAGGTACTCTAAGATCCAACACTTCCGAAACGTCAAATATATCAAAAATCATCATCATCATCATCATCATCATCATCATCATCATCACTATCATTACTTTCATTGGAGTAACTCTCATCGCTGTTGCTGTCGAAGGAGATGGTGTTTGAGGTCAGATAGCGGAAATGGTCGCTGCCAGGAGCGACTTGATGATTTGGGTTCGATCTCACTAGGTACCAGCCATTAGTGACGGCCACAGCCACAGCAGCCACCATTACTAATACCTGTAGGAGGAGAACACGAAGTAGGTACAGTCATTCATTAAATATACAGGTATGTGAACTCAGGTAGATGGAAGGAGTAAACTAAAACTGGCATTTTAATTAACAGGTGTAAAATTATGGTTAGGTTAGGTTAGGTTAGGTTTGGTTAGGTTCGACAGGTTATATGTGTGTGATGAAAGAATTAGTAAGATGGGTGGACAGACATATTAACGGAGAGAGAGAGAGAGAGATCATTGGTATGTAGGTCTTCAAGTTACTGACACAAGTTATGTTTGTGTTATGGTCCTGTTGCTGTGATCACCATTAAGCAGGATCGAACACCATTAAGCAGGATCGAACACCATTAAGCAGGATCGAACACCATTAAACAGGATCGAACACCATTAAACAAGAAGAAATAAGGAGATAATATTCTCTCCATCTCACTCGTCTGGGATCTTGTTGGGTCTCACGCACACACACACACACACACACACACACACACACCTGTACTGTACAATGAGACAGAAAACGGCCGTAACTCCCTGATAGAAGGTACTCGCCCACCTTACCTACACCGTATTCACAGACAGACACACGAACACACAAGACAGATACACGAACACAAAGAACAGAAACACGAACACACAGGACAGACACACGAACACACAGAACAGACACACGAACACACAGGACAGACACACGAACACACAGGACAGACACACGAACACACAGAACAGACACACGAACACACAGGACAGACACACGAACACACAGGACAGACACACGAATACACAGGACAGACACACGAACACACAGGACAGACACACGAACACACAGACCCAAGACCGAAGATTCTCAGCTGTACGAAGAGGAGGAGCTACAATTCTTCACTGCGTCCAGGGATCGACCACCCGGATTCTTGGTTTGCGAGTAGATCTGCCACCCGCTGAGCTATACAGAGAATTTATTGTGAGGTTGTGGAGGTGTGTTGGAGGTGTGAGGTTGTGGAGGTGTGATGGAGGTGTGAGGTTGTGGAGGTGTGTTGGAGAGTGTGATGGAGGTGTGAGGTGGTGTGTGGAGTGTGTTGGAGGTGTGATGGTGTGATGAGGTGTGGGGTTGTGATGGAGGTGTGGGTTGGAGGTGTGTGGGTGTGGAGGTGGAGGTGTGGAGGTGTGAGGTGTGTGAGGAGGTGTGAGGTTGTGGAGGTGTGAGGTTGTGGAGGTGTAGGTTGTGGAGGTGTGAGGGTGTGGAGGTGTGGGGTGTGGAGGTGTGATGGAGGTGTGATGGAGGTTGTGGAGGTGTGGAGGTTGTCTTGTTGTGGGGTTGTGGAGGTGTGGTTGTGAGGTGTGAGGTTGTGGAGGTGTGAGGGTGTGAGGTTGTGGAGGTGTGATGGAGGTGTGATGGAGGTGATGGAGGTGTGATGGAGGTTGTGGAGGTGTGTTGGAGGTGTGATGGAGGTGTGATGGAGGTGTGAGGTTGTGGTGGTGTGATGGAGGTGTGAGGTTGTGGAGGTGTGAGGGTTGTGGAGGTGTGATGGAGGTGTGAGTTTGTGGAGGTGTGAGGTTGTGGAGGTGTGATGGAGGTGTGGGGTTGTGGAGGTGTGGGGTTGTGGAGGTGTAAGGTTGTGGAGGTGTGTGTGGGGTGTGGGGTGTGGAGGTGTGATGGAGGTGTGATGGAGGTTGTGGGGTGAGGTTGTCTTGTTGTGAGGTTGTGGAGGTGTAAGGTTGTGGAGGTGTGAGGTTGTGGAGGTGTGATGGAGGTGTGAGGTTGTGGAGGTTGTGGAGGTGTGATGGAGGTGTGAGGTTGTGGTGGTGTGATGGAGGTGTGATGGAGGTTGTGGAGGTGTGAGGTTGTGGAGGTTGTGGGTTTGTGGAGGTGTGATGGAGGTTGTGGGCTGTGAGGTTGTGGAGGTTGTGGAGGTGTAAGGTTGTGGAGGTTGTGGAGGTGTAAGGTTGTGGAGGTGTGGGGTTGTGGTGGTGTGATGGAGGTGTGATGGAGGTTGTGGAGGTGTGAGGTTGTGGAGGTTGTGGAGGTGTAAGGTTGTGGAGGTGTGAGGTTGTGGTGGTGTGATGGAGGTGTGATGGAGGTTGTGGAGGTTATGGGCTGTGAGGTTGTGGAGGTTGTGGAGGTTGTGGAGGTGTAAGGTTGTGGAGGTGTGAGGTTGTGGTGGTGTGATGGAGGTGTGAGGTTGTGGAGGTGTGAGGTTGTGGAGGTTGTGGGGTGTTAGGTTGTGGAGATGTTGGGTTGTGGGAAGGTTGTGGAGGTGTGATGGAGGTGTGAGGTTGTGGAGGTGTGAGGTTGTGGAGGTGTGAGAAAAAGGAGGTGTGAGGTTGTGGTGGTGTGAGGTGGAGGTGTGAGGTTGTGGTGGTGTGATGGAGGTGTGAGGTTGTGGAGGTGTGAGGGTGTTAGGTTGTGGAGGTGTATGGTTGTAGAGGTGTGAGGTTGTGGAGGTGTGAGGTGGGGAGGTGTGGTTGTGGAGGTGTGAGGTTGTGGAGGTGTGAGGTTGTGGTGGTGTGATGGAGGTGTGAGGTTGTGGAGGTGTGAGGTTGTGGAGGTGTTAGGTTGTGGAGGTGTGAGGTTGTGGTGGTGTGATGGAGGTGTGAGGTTGTGGAGGTGTGAGGTTGTGGAGGTGTGAGGTTGTGGAGGTGTGAGGTTGTGGAGGTGAGGTTGTGGTGGTGTGATGGAGGTGTGAGGTTGTGGAGGTGTGAGGTTGTGGAGGTTGTGGAGGTTTGATGGAGGTGTGATGGAGGTTGTGGAGGTGTGAGGTTGTGGGGTTGTGGGGTTTGATGAAGGTGTGAGGTTGTGGAGGTGTGAGGTTGTGGAGGTTGTGGAGGTTTGATGAAGGTGTGATGGAGGTTGTGGGGTGTGAGGTTGTGGAGGTTGTGGAGGTGTGGGTGTGGAGGTGTGAGGTTGTGGAGGTGTGGGGTTGTGGTGGTGTGAGGTTGTGGAGGTGTGAGGTTGTGGTGTGATGATGGGGTGTGGATGTTGTGGAGTTGTGGAGGTGTGGTTGTGGAGGTGTGAGGTTGTGGAGGTGTGGGGTTGTGGAGGTGTGGTTGTGGAGGTGTGAGGTTGTGGAGGTGTGAGGTTGTGGTGGTGTGATGGAGGTGTGAGGTTGTGTGGGGTGTGGGTTGTGTGTTAGGTTGTGGAGTGTGTGAGGTTGTGGTGGTGTGATGGAGGTGTGAGGTTGTGGAGGTGTGAGGTTGTGGAGGTTGTGGAGGTTTGATGGAGGTGTGATGGAGGTTGTGGAGGTGTGAGGTTGTGGAGGTTGTGGAGGTTTGATGAAGGTGTGAGGTTGTGGAGGTGTGGAGGTTGTGGAGGTTGTGGAGGTTTGATGAGGTGTGATGGAGGTTGTGGAGGTGTGAGGTTGTGGAGGTTGTGGAGGTTTGATGGAGGTGTGAGGTTGTGGAGGTGTGAGGTTGTGGAGGTTGTGGAGGTTTGATGAAGGTGTGATGGAGGTTGTGGAGGTGTGAGGTTGTGGAGGTTGTGGAGGTTTGATGGAGGTGTGAGGTTGTGGATGTTTGATGGAGGTGTGAGGTTGTGGAGATTGTGGAGGTTGTGGAGGTTTGATGGAGGTGTGAGGTTGTGGAGGTGTGAGGTTGTGGAGGTTGTGGAGGTTTGATGAAGGTGTGATGGAGGTTGTGGAGGTGTGAGGTTGTGGAGGTTGTGGAGGTTTGATGGAGGTGTGGGTTGTGGATGTTTGATGGAGGTGTGAGGTTGTGGAGATTGTGGAGGTTGTGGTGGTGTGATGGAGGTGTAAGTACAATGCAAAAATAATCACCAGCAGGACTCTCATGGCAGGTGACGCTGACGGTGATGGAGAGTAGGAGGAATGGGTCCATCTGCCAGTGAGGGTCTTATAACCGGGACAGAGAGCGACCTTGAGCCTGCCTGCCTGCCCCCTCTCCCCTCCCCACCCCCACACCTGCCCGCCTCCCCCCCCCCCCTCCACACATACACCAACAAAACATAATTTCTGAGAAGTACCCAAATTAACGTATCCTGCTGACCTTTCATATAAATTCAATCCTCAGGTTTACTACAGAAGGAACCCATCTCCTTCCCTTCCCTTAGGTCCTACACTCCTTAAGACTCTATACGATGATGATTTAATAACCTCATAGTACTTCACATTTAATTCAGGTACAGGAATCTTATTTAAACCATTTAATTCTTTTTACCACATTATCAGGTGAGTTGGAATTTGGGGTAAAATTTTTTATCATTAGCCATTCGAATTAAGTACCTATGCCACCTGTCGTGTACGCTAAATAGGCGTTAGTTAAGGTATCAATTTAATAAAAAGTAGACAGCAGCACGGGCAGGATTATCATGGTCAGTGGTTTTTATGAAGGACTGTTTTGTAAGATTATTCTACAACTGGTTTTGTAAGTATCGTCTTGGGCTCAGGTGTAACTGTTAATGAGTTGTTTAGGTGGTGGGCAGTTGTGGTGACGGTGTTAGTACTTTATTGAGGGTGATTTAGATCGTCCTTGAGGATTCCTTTAAAGGGTGGGTGTTGGTTACTGTGTCGAGAGTGATTGATGATGTGTCTGTCTGTCTGTTTGTCTGTAGTTTTTGCAACGTCATGGTTACTCATCAATTTCCAGTGAACATCATCTTGCTCCACATTCTCCACTACTCATTATAGTAACACAAAGGAGGAACAGAAGATATTGTCTTACTTTTTGTGTGGATTAACTCACCTTAACATTCACACAGAAACACACAAGAAGTATATGTATCCTGTGTGTGTGTGTGTGTGTGTGTCTGTGTCTGTGTCTGTGTCTGTGTGTGTACATGTGTGTGTGTGTGTGTGTGTGTGTACGTGTGTGTGTGTGTGTGTGTGTGTGTGTGTGTGTGTGTGTGTGTCTGTGTCTGTGTCTGTGTCTGTGTGTGTACATGTGTGTGTGTGTGTGTGTGTGTGTACGTGTGTGTGTGTGTGTGTGTGTGTGTACCATTGAGTCACACTTAAGGGCCCCAACGGGTAATCAAGGCTTAAAATCTCATAACTTTTGTCTTTCCCATCAGAATGAATGATAAAGGCTCCACCACCACCACCACCACCAGGAGACCCGTCAGAGGCGATGAAGTAGTAGTTGACGGAGGCAGTAACTTCAGTAGAAGAGTGAAGCCGTGGATTAGGGTTCGCTAAGATGTAAGTGTAAAATTTTCTCTTGATACGTTAAGATGAGAGAACTTTTCGGTAGTGTCTGAGGCGCAAAGTCGACCGTAATTTCTATGACATCAGTTAGGTAAAAGTCTCTCTCTCTCTCTCTCTCTCTCTCTCAGCCCTTCACCCCACCTCCCTGGGTCACCGTTATATCATTTCAGGAAGTATTATCCCAAAGCCCTTACCTTCTTTTCTCTGGTGCCGGATAAGTGACGACCTATCTGACTCAGTGATCTATATCCGTAACTTGCGTCAACCAGATGCTTTTCCACTTAACCTACCTGGGGGAAAAAACTAACGTAATGACCTTTGAGAACCTGACCCTCATTTCTGCCACTTGAAAGGGTTAACGGCGAACGAGAGAGATCAGGTGAAGGTCCGGGAGGGAGAGAGGGAGAGAGGGAGAGGGAGAGGGAGGGAGGGACGTGACTCCTCCCACTTAACTGTCCTTACCACCAAGGACAAACAGACAAGTTACATGTCATTCATTACACATACACACACACCTGGTGAATAAATCCTAATTAGTAATTTTCAACCTGTTTTACCTAATTTACCTGTGTACATTAAAAAGATCTAGTAAATATATCACGTAATGTATTAATTTTCCCTCTAAGATGTACGTCAAGAACAGGTAAACTCATTCATTAATTCTCTTGACATAATTTATTCCAGAAAATATAGAAAAAATGTGTCCTTAATTGAAAAACATTTTGTCTCGTTATGGATCAACATTCAGGTGTCGTGGTACAGGTAAGATGATTGTTTATACACCTGACTGAATTACTACCTTGATTGAAGTGTCTTGTAAATTTAATCTTGTTTATTATCTCCAAATTCGGGAGAGAACTTGATGATGAAGGTAATTTATACGTGTCTCTTTGTTTACACTATTACGTCCATTAAAGAAACAACCTAACTTAACCTAACTTAACCTAATCTAACCTAACCTATTCTAACCTAACTTATCCTAACCTGACCTAACCTATTTAACCGTATACAACTAAAATAAAAACTCTTCCAAGATCATTAAATTAGCTGGGTTTGTTTTGCCTGTTTTAAAAGAACTATATGGTAAACTTACCCCTAACATTATTGGAACAAAACACTTGAGTCTCAGAGCAGAAACTAAGCACTACTAGTACTCCACTATTGAGTCCTCTTCTTCAGAAACAAAATAAATTCGAAATAGGAGATAATGAACAGGTTTGAATCCATAAGGAAAGTTCACCAATAGGAGAGTTTAGTCACGGAGATAATTTATAGCCAAGGTACAGTACGTGAACACCTGAACAATGAACACGAGGATAATATCACCCCAAATGGCAGGTAAGCATTCGGGAATTTGGAAACACAAAGACACAACACTATTTTATGTTCTTTAAGAGTTATTTATTCGCCGCTAGAACAAAGTACAAAGCAATATGGAAACATTGAAGCAGATTCACAAATAATTTAACTCATCACCGTCTCAAAGCACAACTGCTAATAATATATTACAAAATGTCAGACCAGGTGGGGGGGCGAGTCAGGCGAAGAGTGGGTCTCTCACCAGCTGCCCCTCCTCACAGGACTTCTTTCTTCAGGGTCATCTTAGGAACTGCCGGAGGATGTCACTGCTTGGCCCCTCCCTCGCTCTCGTAGTCGACGAAGGAGCCCTGGTTACCGTCAGCTTTGGCGCCCCAGGAGCTGATGGGGACGGCGTTGGACTCCACGACGCGGTAACCGTGTTCGTCAGCCACATACTTGACGTAAAACTCCTCCCCTTCAGGAGACGTCCAGCTGGAACAAAGTAAGATTTACCTGTGTGTCTCATTTATCTACCTGTGTGTCTCATTTATCTACCTGTGTGTCTCATTTATCTACCTGTATATCTCATTTATGTACTTGTGTGTCTCATTTATCTACCTGTGTGTCTCATTCATCTACCTGTATATCTCATTTATCTACCTGTGTGTCTCATTTATCTATCTGTGTGTCTCATTTATCTACCTTTGTGTCTCATTTATCTATCTGTGTGTCTCATTTATCTACCTGTGTGTCTCATTTATCTACCTGTGCGTCTCATTTATCTACCTGTGTGTCTCATTAATCTACCTGTGTGTCTCATTTATCTACCCGTGTGTCTCATTTATCTACCTGTGTGTCTCATTTATCTACCTGTGTGTCTCATTTATCTACCTGTGTACCATTTATCTTACTGTGTGTCTCATTTATCTACCTGTGTGTCTCATTTATATACCTGTGTGTCTTATCTACCTGTGTGCCTCATTTATCTACCTGTGTGTCTCATTTATCTACCTGTGTGTCTCATTTATCTACCTGTGTGTCTCATTAATCTTTGAGGAATTTTTATGAGGATTTTCTCAAAGGTTTTTACTCTGATTCACCAACAACACAACACCAGTCTGTCTTCTCTGCTGAGTTCCTGTTAGACTGTCACACAGAACCAGAACAAGGTGTAGTCAACAATCTGACGACGTTTGGTAACAGTGAGTCTAAATTAGTTTGGGGAGGATTATAAGTTTAATGTTTGACTAACCTGTAGGAGCCTTTGACCTAAGACTCACCTGTAGGAGTCCTCGACCTAAGATTCACCTATAGAGCCTTTGACCAAAGACTCACCTGTAAGAACCTTTGACCGAATACTTACTTGCAGGAGCCCTCGTCTAAAGACTCACCTGTAGGAACCCTCTACCTAAGACTCACCTGTAGGAGTCCTTGACGTAAGACTCACCTGTAGGAGCCCTCGACCTAAGACTCACATGCAGGAGCCCTCGACTTAAGACTCACCTGTAAGAGACCTCGACCTAAGACTCACTTGTAGGAGCCCTCGACTTAAGACTCACCTGCAGGAGCCTCGACCTAAGACTCACCTGTAGGAGCCCTCGACCTTCTCGCCGCCTTTGCCCGTCTGTGTTTGCTGCTGTTGGTCACCCTCAAAGTCAAGGATGGTGTCGGGGCGGGCGACAGTCAGAGCCACCATGGCCAACATAGCCACAACAACCTGGCCAAGGGGAGGAAACAGTCGCACGTCAACTTCAGTTTAAAAAAAACAAAACCCATTGTTACATTCCAAAACGATTTCTAAATATCGTTTAATTGGAAATCACATTTTGAAATTTACTTCACAAGAAAAAATTATGAAAAAAAGTTTTGGACACACTAATAACAGCCTACCATCACACAATACTGTTTCCCTCTGACAGAAATAACACAGATGTCAGAGTTGTTCATTACACACTGACTGTTGACCTTTGGGAACAGACTGCTCAAGCGTCCAACATGAAACTGGGAGAAAAAAAATCTGACTTTTGAGTATGTGTGTGTGTTAGGTCACTAAGTCCTTCTCCCTTACTCACCGGGGTGTGGTAATCACTCTGACAGCCCTTGACGTTATTCATCACGTGTTATTGAATTGTTATTTTTTCCTTCTGATTAATCCAACTTAAACATTGATTAGTAAGACTGTTGATATTATTAGACACACCTAATGTTTAATGTACACTGTTATGTTTACTGTACACTGTTATGTTTACTGTACACTGTTATGTTTACTGTACACTGTTATGTTTACTGTACACTGTTATGTTTACTGTACACTGTAACGTCTGTCCTGTACATTGTGACAAACCTTAAATAATTTCTGGCGAATCAAAAAGCAATACAATGTAAACAAGATTAATTTGATCCACTAAGACACAACTGTGATAACCAACCCGACCCTCACCACACGAGACTGTGAACATAACACGACCACTCACAGAGAACTTCATGATGCTGAGATGACCAACGAAAACTGCTGAGAAATCTGAGAGAAGTGGATGTTGCTTGACTCTATGGCTGAGACTGTGAGGTAGAGGAGGAACTGAGAGAGAGGTAAAAGGAGGTAGAGAAGGAGGTAGTGATGCTTGATTCAGCTAACACTTGAGAGGTCAGGCAGCTGGTGTAGAAGGAGGAGGTGAGGGCAGCGGGATGTGGTGCTGACCCAGGCCATCACGGCTCTTATATAGTAACACCACCATGACCACTACGCCTCACAAACCACGCCCACATCATAGGTCCTTCTACAGGCAGGTGGTCACGGGAGAGTAACTCAGATAGTGTCATTATTGATTACTTTCAATTGTCTGGTTTAGATAGTTGGATAGATCGATTAGATAGATAGATAGATGTTTAGACGGACAGACAGACAGACAGACAGGTGGCTGAACTGGGAATATATATCAGGAAGGTAACAATACACACTCGACCTAACTGGTGACCTGTTGATGAACTGACGCAGACACGTTACCTAACCTAACCTAACCTAACCTAACCTAACCTAACCTAACCTAACCTGGGGCCTTCTGCAGTTTCCTTTACACTTACGCTTTTATGTAACTCAATCCCGTGTGACATAAAACGCATTGCTAATTCCTATCTCTCTCTCTCTCTCTCTCTCTCTCTCTCTCTCTCTCCACCCACACTATTAACGAAGAAACGAAGAAGACTAGGAAAAGGAGGAGGACGAGGAAGAGAAAGAGGAGAAGGAGGAGGAGGAGGAGGACGAGAAAGAGGAGGAGGAGGAGGAGGAGGAGGAAGAGGACTAAGAGGAAGAAGAAGAAGTCAGTAAGAGCGGCCATCCCAGACCCCCTTGAGGTAGAGACGTCCTCGGCCCGCCACGCTGACCAGGTATCGGGGTCATGCAGGGTCAGTCACACAAAAACTCTCTCGTCTCATTGCCTCATCGTCTCCTTGGAGGCTCTCGGGGCATATGTTACCTGTGAGACATATAGAAATGCAGTGATTATCTGGAGCAGTGAGACACACACATATATACATACACTATACACATTCATACAATATACACACACATATATACACACATTCATACAATACACACACATATACACTCGATGACTACCATTTTGAAGAGTTTATATATTTGAATAATTAAAGAAAATAATTTGCATAAGTGTATAATATTATGGAAAGGTTGAGTGGAGTCGTAATGTGTCAGCTGTGTTTACCTTATCTGTTGAAGCCTGTCATTTATCATCCCATTGGTGGACAATTAACCAATGGGAATTCACTAGTGTGTTAGTTCCGAGTTGTTATTGGCTTAGATTTGTGTTTGAAGGTAGATGAGCATCGTGGAGGTGTGACACAGTTTGCTTCCTTCCTCCGCTGACAAACCAAGTCTTCCATGGCGGAATCTTGTGAAGGTAAAAAACTCTATGATGTTATATATAACTTATTCACTAAATTTTTTTTTGTCTATTTATCTAAGATTTAATAATAAAGTTATTCATTTGATTTTACATGTGTTTTCATCATGACTTCAGGTGTCCCTCTGCCATCTCGTAAGACAGTTAGCCAGTCAGTCGCCTTGGACCTCACCTCACTATTATCTCGAGTACATAGACACACAGACACGCTCACCCCCCACCTCACCCCAAAGAACAGCCACAAGAACGTAATTAATGACTGACCTCACGAGTCTATTGAGTGGGAATGATTCATGACCATTCACGGTTGACATTTCAAGCTGGGTCACATGAACACGACCATCACCTACCTGTAGAAGGACCTATACGATGAGGCGTGGTCTGTGAGGCGTGGTAATGGTGTTGGTGTTCTCAGGTCACTATATAAGAGCAGTGTGGGTTTGGGTCAGTACACACATTCCACTCTCATCTCCTCCTGAGCCGACTGTCTCTTCATCCTCCAAGCATTACCCGAGTCTCACGTCATCCTCCAAAGTCCTCCTCAGTCTCCTCTTCTCAGGTCCTTAGACAGTTCTTCGTCTTCCTTCGTCACCTCAGCATCATGAACACCTACGTAAGTTATTGTTGTTATGATGTAAACAAGATGGTGACGAGCTTATTAATTTGACTTTGTTATGTTGTGTTGCAGTGAACTAAGTCAGTGTGTTGGAATTAGTTACCCTTAAGATAACCTCATTTAAGTATGTTTTTTAGAGTGTACAGTACAGTCATAACAGTGTACAGTACAGTCATAACAGTGTACAGTACAGTCATAACAGTGTACAGTACAGTCATAACAGTGTACAGTACAGTCATAACAGTGTACAGTACAGTCATAACAGTGTACAGTACAGTCATAACAGTGTACAGTACAGTCATAACAGTGTACAGTACAGTCATAACAGTGTACAGTACAGTCATAACAGTGTACAGTACAGTCATAACAGTGTACAGTACAGTCATAACAGTGTACAGTACAGTCATAACAGTGTACAGTACAGTCATAACAGTGTACAGTACAGTCATAACAGTGTACAGTACAGTCATAACAGTGTACAGTACAGTCATAACAGTGTACAGTACAGTCATAACAGTGTACAGTACAGTCATAACAGTGTACAGTACAGTCATAGGAATGTACAGTGATGTTATAGCATTGTATACACCCCAAACAGTATCTTCACGGAGAGGGTCGATGAGTTTCACAATGAACACTACGACTCCTGTTGTCTCGGTAGGGTTGTCAAAATCCTTCGTCCGTTGTGTCATATTGTCTCACGCTAAATGGTACTTTTCTGGAGTGCGTGTACAAGTGTGTTAGTGTTTCCGAATGGTTGGTACAGTCGACTACAGGTACGAGTGTATTAATATAAACAATTATCTATTATAGGAATTAAGTTATCTGGTAATAATTTCGTTCAGAAAATTACCAAAATTTCAAAATGACCCAATACAGTAAATCCTCCCAATAGCGGACTTCTCTATATATATATATTCCGTTACATGGGAATTTCACATGGAATAAACCCTCGATATATAGGATTTTCAGCTTTATATTAATTCGTTAGATGGAGGTTTCACATATAACTGACACATTATATAGCGGACTTTCCTCTCCATATAGTCCGTTAAATAAAGAGTTCACTATAATTTAAATTTTATTCCTGTAGATATAAATATGTAACGAAGCACTGAAGAATATATCACAGCATTTCGTTCAGGGTTTCTAATTGTAAATATGGATAAAATAACGATATAGTTTCTGGGGGGGGGGAGGGGGCTGTACTCTACGGGGCATAACAGTGTACAGTAAAGTGATATTAACGTTAAGTCATATTAATTACAGGTTTAAATTACAGGTATAACAGGTTAAATAATAATAGTTGTTTTATATGGGATTAACAACATGAGTGCTGCTATTTACTGTTACTTGACGCATTAATAGAAATAGACTAGCACTAATGACGGGTGTGTTAAAGTCGATACAGGAGCTATAACTCAGGTAAACCAATCATCAACGCGGGAGACTCAGGTGTAACGCAGGTGCAACGCAGGTGTGATGTAACAAAATGAACACTACGTTAGGCCACGATGCTTCTCTCACCACAACAAACACTTCGTATAGATGGGTGGACGGTGATGGGTAACGCTGGGTGTTTCCTCGCCTCTCTTCTGTAACCCGGACCTAGAAACACCAAACATGTACAATACGTGAAAAGAATGCCAGAGATTCTTATAGTAATGCTATAATGGCGCGAAGAATGTCTTTATTTATTAATTTAGGTTTATCAGTCAGAGTTTATTGTTACATTCTTCTCAGTGTCGAAGTAAGTTTACCAAAGGTCAACTGTCCTAGTGAACGCTGTAAACCAGGCCAGGAATTCATTTTATTTGTTGTTTTTTTCTTAGCGGAAAGGAAACTTGTTTTTAGCTTCATCATTTACCACTCAATGTGATAATTATATTGTGGTGTAGCGCCATATTAAGACGAATCAATTATCATACGAGCCACGTGGAGAAGACAATCATTTGGAACACTTGTGACTCAAACACCTAATAAATATTTAATCCGAGTTAACTTGCGACTGTTTCCTCCCCTTGGCCAGGTTGTTGTGGCTATGTTGGCCATGGTGGCTCTGACTGTCGCCCGCCCCGACACCATCCTTGACTTTGAGGGTGACCAACAGCAGCAAACACAGACGGGCAAAGGCGGCGAGAAGGTCGAGGGCTCCTACAGGTGAGTCTTAGGTCGAGGCTCCTGCAGGTGAGTCTTAAGTCGAGGTCTCCTACAAGTGAGTCTTAGGTCGAGGTCTCTTACAGGTTAGTCTTAAGTCGAGGGCTCCTACATGTGAGTCTTAGGTCAAAGGCTCCTACAGGTGAGTCTTACGTCAAGGACTCCTACAGGTGAGTCTTAGGTAGAGGGTTCCTACAGGTGAGTCTTTAGACGAGGGCTCCTGCAAGTAAGTATTCGGTCAAAGGTTCTTACAGGTGAGTCTTTGGTCAAAGGCTCTTATAGGTGAATCTTAGGTCGAGGACTCCTACAGGTGAGTCTTAGGTCAAAGGCTCCTACAGGTTAGTCAAACATTAAACTTATAATCCTCCCCAAACTAATTTAGACTCACTGTTACCAAACGTCGTCAGATTGTTGACTACACCTTGTTCTAGTTCTGTGTGACAGTCTAACAGGAACTCAGCAGAGAAGACAGACTGGTGTTGTGTTGTTGGTGAATCAGAGTAAAAACCTTTGAGAAATTCCTCATAAAAATTCCTCAAAGATTAATGAGACACACAGGTAGATAAATGAGACACACAGGTAGATAAATGAGACACACAGGTAGATAAATGAGGCACACAGGTAGATAAATAAGACACACAGGTATATAAATGAGACACACAGGTAGATAAATGAGACACACAGGTAGATAAATGAGACACACAGGTAGATAAATGAGGCACACAGGTAAATCTTACTTTGTTCCAGCTGGACGTCTCCTGAAGGGGAGGAGTTTTACGTCAAGTATGTGGCTGACGAACACGGTTACCGCGTCGTGGAGTCCAACGCCGTCCCCATCAGCTCCTGGGGCGCCAAAGCTGACGGTAACCAGGGCTCCTTCGTCGACTACGAGAGCGAGGGAGGGGCCAAGCAGTGACGTCCTCCGGCAGTTCCTAAGATGACCCTGAAGAAGGAAGTCCTGTGAGGAGGGGCAGCTGGTGAGAGACCCACTCTTCGCCTGACTCGCCCCCCACCTGGTCTGACATTTTGTAATATATTATTAGCAGTTGTGCTTTGAGACGGTGATGAGTTAAATTATTTGTGCATCTGCTTCAATGTTTCCATATTGCTTTGTACTTTGTTCTAGCAGCGAATAAATAACTCTTGAAGAAAGCGAAAGTGACTTTTTTATCCTCAACTGTACGTCTTTCTCTGAAGGTTTTGATGTCGCAGAATAACAAGGTTAAGTGAAGCTGTTATTTTTCTGTGACTTAATACCATCTCGCTTGACTCCTCTTAAAAAACACTCCATTGTGATGTTCTAAATGTCTTCTTTTTTTTTCTGATGACACGAGAAAAAAATTTTCAATGTGTGTTGGATTTTTAAGGATTTACCACAGAGACGTGAACACAGCTCGCCTGTATCGTATTCATAACACAGGTACGAGAAGTGTTCAGATCAGTGTTCAAAAGACATTGGACATCTACGCCTGATTTATCAAACTCATATAGTAATTAGTTAGGGTGACATATATTTTGTTTGACTAATATTGTGATTTTATAATTTTATGATAATCTGTGATGTCACTTTTGTTCTGACACCTCCTCATTTTGATAAGTGTCATAAGTGGCACTGGCCCCCACAACCCTAACCTGACCTGATTTAAACACCAACTGAGGCAACAACACAGAGATTAGATCAACGATAATTGAAATTTCGGAAGTAGATGAAGGTCGACATTGAGAGGTTAGCAGCCCCTTCCTGAACAGTGTCCATTGCTAGCAGGATCAAGTGCGGACAGGATGCTAAGTCAAGGATTATCTGGACTATCAGGGAGTTGCTTAATCAGTAAAATTATCAGGAGTAAAAGCGCGTTGGATTAGTCATGTTTTTTAAGTGTCTGATTATTTAGTATTTACGAGTTCAATCATAAAACGGGATATGGACGGCAGTAACTGGGGTCTTTTTTTATTCCTGATTTAGTCAATGTTGGGGAATTACTGTAGACTGAAGTAAAAACTAAAAAATTATACAAGATGTGGGTCCAATACAGCAGTCGACTAAACACACTCACATCTACTACACTCAGGTGACTCATTATAGCTTACAGGTAGTTACGGGTGATTATAGCGTTAGTTGGTGGTCACGTTCCTGTCCCCATAAGGATGAAGTCAAAATTTATTGTATGCTTCCTATTGGCATTTAGTGAGGGAAAGTTTAAAGGTGAATCCCGTTTTGGCCAGTGCATGGATAGATGCCATAGGCCAAACATGCAGAACAGTGAAAACAATGTGAAAAAGTAACATCTTTGACGTAGTAAAGTGCATGTTTTGCTGTGTGGGGGGGGGCAGGCAGCGAGGCACAAGGCCGCTCACTTAACCCGGGTATAAGACCAACACAAGTGGCGTGTCTCCTCAGTCCTTACTCTCCCTCCCCCTCTGCCGTCTTCACCACCGTCGTCGCCGCCGTCATGAGAGTCCTGGTGATTACTCCTACTCTAGTGTTCAAAGACTTCTTCACCGACCGTATCCTGAGAGCCAGAAATTGGTTGTTAAATTATTCCTTTCAAATGGAATCTCTTAACACCTGACCCAGTAACTCCCTCAAGTGACTGTGTGTGAGAATGATACCTGGATATACAGTGCATCGTAGGTGTTGTGATGGCTGCTTTCATCTACTGACAACTGACTGATATGTGGCGCTGGAATGCTAAATTATTTTGTTTTTTCTATGAGGACGAAAGAGAAGTGGAGGAAGAAATTGTAATCTTTTTGTGGCCAATAGGGAACAAATATCTCTCCTTGTAGCTATATGTATATACCAGCGTGACTAATTCTTGCTTCCCCCGCCAGGTGTTGGTGTTGCTGGTGGAGGTAGTGGCTCTGGCCTCAGCTGGCCAATGGTTCCTGAGCCAGCCACAACGGCGGGACCTGACCCTCATGCTGCCCCCCGCCCAGCTCACCGGTACCAGCTCTTTCTACTTCGAGGACAGCAAAGAGAACTCCCCAGAAGATCTATCTGCTATCAGCGATGGCGTTGATGTTGCTGATACTAACAGCGTTGAAGATGTCGACAACAGTCTGTCTGATACTAACAGCGTTGAAGATGTCGACAACAGTCTGTCTGATACTAACAGCATTGAAAATGTCGACAACAGCCTGTCTGTTGCTGATACTAACAGCGTTGAAGATGTCGACAACAGTCTGTCTGTTTCTGATACTAACAGCGTTGAAGATGTCGACAACAGTCTGTCTGTTTCTGATACTAACAGCGTTGAAGATTTCGACAACAGTCTGTCTGTTTCTGATGCTAACAGCGTTGAAGATTTCGACAACAGTCTGTCTGTTTCTGATACTAACAGCGTTGAAGATGTCGACAACAGTCTGTCTGTTTCTGATGCTAACAGCGTTGAAGATTTCGACAACAGTCTGTCTGTTGCTGATACTAACAGCGTTGAAGATGTCGACAACAGCCTGTCTGTTTCTGATACTAACAGCGTTGAAGATTTCGACAACAGTCTGTCTGTTGCTGATACTAACAGCGTTGAAGATGTCCAGTGTTGATGATGATAGTGCTGACGCCAACGAAACTGATGATAATGTCAGCCCCAATGATGCTGTCAGCGACGCTCTCGATGACGCTGACGATGATAAATCTTCTCCCGACGATGTTAGTGACGACGTTGATGGTAACACAGACGAGGTCGACGACTAAGTGGATGATGCCAACGACGTGGAAGACAATGTGAGCAAGAGTGACGACGATGATAGCTCGAGTATTTATGTTGGTGAAGACGGCCGCTGAGGAGGTGCTTCATCCTCCTGCCGTGTTGAGGTGACCCCGTGACCCGCATGATAAACTCCCTCCATCAACTACCCAGCTCTCTCTCTCTCTCTCTCTCTCTCTAACACACTCCCAAAGCTTTATCCTAATGCATTGTTGCTACAAACGTATTCCTAAACTGTGGCTTTATTGCTGTATGGACTCTTAACTTATCTAGATCTGTGTCTGTATAACCAATCAACGTGTATATGCTCCCTGTATATATACGTACACACGAATATGTATCCTGTATATTCCTTATCCTATCCGAGAGACTGTACTCCTCGATGTTCTTGGATAACTTAACAAATCCTGTATATAAAATAATATATATATTAAATTATGACCCGAGGATGTACTTGTTTTCCTGATCCACTTTCGCTAAATGTCAACAGAAACTGGAAGTCAACACCGGGAACTTAATGGGGCAGGATAGAACTGGTCCTAATATAGCATCAACTGGCCATGTTCCTCGCCTACACTTGGCTGTTTTCAAAGTCAAGATATTTGTCGTAAAGATGTTGTCTTCTTGTGTGTGTGGGGGGGAGGGGGGTGTACTACTGCTGTTACTAATAATAAATACTTACTGAAATTACATAAATGACTTAAGTGGTATATATATAACGCCATGTAAGAGGATAATTTAGCAAGGAATATCAACACAGCTACGGTACAAAAGTGAGGTCGGCAAGGAGTGAACACACAGGTTTTTTTTACGAGCCGAGGATTGTAACACTGGTTGGGTGGTTGATCTTATAGTGATCAGTACGTGGTCGCATGGGCTGGATGCGGTTGTGGTGTCGAGCAGCAATTCACAGACGAGGGATCTGAGGTGGTAGCAGGAGACGGTGAGGAGGAGGTGTAGTAACTTGTTCCAGTCTGACAATTAAGAGTCAGTATATTGAGTGCCTCCTTGTTGTATAGTGTATAGGGAAGATCATGAGGGAGTAGAGGCATAGGTGACCTCAGGAAGTATGAATGATGTTTAACCACTCAAGAACTCAGACTCGGTAACTCCGAGGGACTTGAGGCGACGGAGGATCCGGAGACTATAGTAGGATCATTTGACGGTTGTACTGATGAGTGGGCTCCAGTCGAGTTTATTATATATAGACGCAGAGGAGCTTGATAGAGTCCACAACCTGGAGTGTGTTGGAGGGAGGAGGTGGGGACATGGTCGGAGGAGAGGTTGATGAGCATAACCATGGTCTTGGTATGGTTGATGGTGACATGGTTGGTGGCGGTAGAGAGTACTGCAATCAGGAGCCGAGTTGTTAACACTGACTCCAAAGGTATAGCCGTCAACATCATTTCCAGGAGCATTGATGAGGATGAGGAAGCAGAGTGGCCCCATCCTAGTGCCTTAAAGGACGCCACAGGTGAGTGACTGAAAGGTGGAGACAGCCCCTCGGGAGCGTACAGTCTGGCGTCGGTCACTAAGGAAATCTGTTAGCCATGGTGTGTGTGTGTGTGTGTATGTGTGTGTGTGTGTGTGTGTGTGTGTGTGTGTGTGTGTGTGTGAGAGAGAGATGACAACAGATAATAAACACAGTAATCCTATATAAACCACAAACACAAGACCTCTTACAACTGATTAACACAATTTACGAAACTACAAGATAAAAAAACGTACAGACACTCAACATAAGTGACACATATACATAATACATATACACACACATAACACATATACACACATAACACATATACACACATAACACATATACACACATAACACATATACACACATAACACATATACAGTACACACATAACACATATACAGTACACACATAACACATATAACTTAATTCATAGAAAACACACATTGAAAACTCTTACACAACATTTTTTCCCCAATATGTTGTGAAATAGTGTTTAAAAGTCGAGATATTGGGAGCATGAATTAAAAAAGTCTAATCCAAGTTCGTTAGCCTTGATGGGATTACAAAAGACTTATAAAAAAGTCTGGAGGTAAATTCCCTTTTGTCAATATCTACTTTATATGTTTTTGTTTAGGTTTTTGGTGATGGGTCCAGTTGGTCAGTTAGTTACCACGAGTGTATGATTCGCCAGACGATAATATTATATAGTAGTAAATTAATGTGTGTTAGAGATAAGTTTTTTGGGGTTTTTTCTAGATTTCATGAATAACTGATTAGGTTAGGTTGATAAATGAGCATTGTTGTACAGGTAAAGTTAAGGTGTTATAGGTATGAGAAGGTTAATTAAGAATATTGGTTATAAGTTTTCCGTTTTGTTTTGTTTTTCTTCTATGTATTACAGATTTTTGGTTTTTCCTTCTCTCAATCTGTCTTCTTCATCTTCCCCCTTACCCCTCCACCTTCCCTTCCCCATCTTCCCCATTTTCCCCCTACCCACCCCACCTAACCCCACCCCACCCCACCCCACCCCACCCCACCCCACCCCACCCCACCGTGCCTCTATCTCTAGTGAAGAACTATAAAAAGAAACAGAAAAATATGGAATACTTTAAGCAACATCTAAATATTTTTTGGTGGAAGAAAAATGGACATAAGACTTTTATTTTCTTTATTGCTCATAATAAACAGAATCTTAACAGCCTATTACAAAGGTCCTCTGAAGAAGACAAGCACTCGCTACGTCAGAAGAATCACAAGTTATATTGACTACTTCAGGTGGTGTGGTGTGGTGTAGTGTGGTGTGGTGTGGCGTGGTGTGGTGTGGTGTGGCGTGGTGTGGTGTGGTGTGGTGTGGTGTGGGGGACATTTTTCAGCTGGTTCCTCTTATTGCAGGGTCTCCGTCACCGCCTTCTGCGTAAGTTACTTGGCTCCTTTCCCACCCTTCTTTTTATTGAAGGATCCCTGGTTGCCATCAGCGACACCCCCCCAGGAACTGACAGGGACGGCATTGGACTCCACGACGCGGTAACCATTCTCGTCAGCCACATACTTGACGTAGAAGTCCACACCTTCAGGAGACGTCCAGCTGGAACAAGGGTAAAATATGTTCTTTATCGGCGTTTGTTGCTCAGCCGCCAAAAAAATATTTGTTAGAAAAGCGGATTAGACACTAGATGAAGTCTTCAATCTACTCACCTGTAGGAGCTCTCGACCTAGGACTCACCTGTAGGAGGAGCCTTTGACCGAAGACTCACCTGTAGGAGCCCTTGACCTAAGACTCACCTATAAGAGCCCTCGACTTAAGACTCACCTGTAGGAGCCTCACCTATAAGAGCCCTCGACTTAAGACTCACCTGTAGGAGCCCTCGACCTAAGACTCACCTTTAGGAGGAGCCTTTAACCTAAGACTCACCTATAGGAGCCCTCGACCCTCTTCCCGCTCTGGCCCGTCTGTGTTTGTTGTTGTTCCTCCCCTTTAAAGTCAAGGACGAGGTCGGGGCGGGCAACGGCGAGGGCCACCGTGACCACCATGGCCACAACAACCTGGCCAAGGGGAGGAAGAAGAGGGCATATCTTTAACCTCTACATTAAAACTGTCCATCGTCAAAAGCTATCACTAATCTTTATTCTATTAAAACTCTCAAAGTGTTCTCAGAATCATAGGTAGAGTTCGTTGATAGTGTTTTGGTTTTTTTATACTTAAATGGACGTATATTCTAAGTATTTATAACGAAATTAATTGAGTTTTTTTAATATTGTTTTAGCCAGTTATATATCGTATAGTTTACTTAGAGTCGGTGCGTTTTTGTAAGTTTTAGTGTGAACGTAACTCATTGTGAATTATTTTGAAGTTGGGAGTTTTATGTTAAGTCATCAACTCGGCTTGATAACTCACGGAAGACTTCATGGCGCGGAAGGAGACGCAAGAGGATGACGCAAGACCTGAGAGACGGTTGACGCTGTGATGCAGAAGAGAAAGATAGGAAGGCGAATGAGGAAGAGGAGTAATTGGAAGAAGAAGAATAGGAGGAGGGGAAGGAATTTGATGTAAGATATAAGACTCAGCCAATACTTGAGAGGTGAGGATGAGGAAACAGTCGGTGTAGGGAGAGTGAGAGTGCAGATTGAATCCCCTCACTGCTCTTATATAGTGACCTGGGAACACCACCATCACCATTACCACCACTACCACCACCCCCACCACCATCACGCCCCAGGTATTCAAGTTCTTCCCTCTAGTTAGATACGGCTTATCTTTCTGCTTCGCTTGAAAAACATTCATTAACTGTCAACATCAATCTTTAACCTCACGACGCCGCAGGATGACAGACATTGACTCATTTGAAGAAAGTTGAATTACAAACATCAATACACCTGTAATTTCCATAGAGTAACGAGATCATTAAGAAAAAAATAAGATGCAGGTAACAATACAGGTACAGGTAGATCTAGGTAATTAAAGCAGGTACGGGTAGATACAGGGACATACAGGTAAATACAGGTACAGGTATGAGAAGGTTGGTGCTTTGGATTATCTGTAGTGTGAGAATGAAGCAATATGAAGCAGCTTGGTATGTGTATTTTCTTTATGTATTGTTCGGTGTATCAGAGTCCCGAACAGGTGAGTGAAGCTTCGAGACGAGTCAAAAAATATTCAGTCATTCAGTGATTTAGTGTTCCTGAATTGTTTTAGTTAGGGATGTATTATATATATAGTTATTTAATTTATGTTTAAACTGAAATACTCGTAATATATAGACCGGTAGTACAATGTTGATAAGATAAGGTAAGTATTGGTCAGTGGCATGTAACTTAAGAGGACTCAGGTCTATATTATGGGTTGAGCCGCTAGGTGACGTTAGTGTCTGTCTGGCTACTGTTAGGTACACTCTCTCTCTCTCTCTCTCTCTCTGCTGATTGTCAAGTAGAGTGGCTGGTGTTTATCTTGTAAGTATAATGTTTGCTTTTGTTATCATACTTACTTTTTTTCCATAGCTGTGGTAGTATTTAAGTGTGTGTAAGTGAATGTTGGTTTATTAAGTGAGTTCTGGTTGATCCTGGTTGCTTGTAGAGAACTTCAGTTAATCATCAGTTAATTTCGGTTTATCTAGACACATTAGCTTAAATAAACATTGTATGGCAGACAACTAAGGGGTAAAACACACAATACGTTGCCAGTGAGTCATTTATTTATTTACAGGAGCCATAAATTACAATAAATAATAGAGGTATTATAACACGTCGGGGTCAATATTAAGCTTCGGTGGTGAGGTTTGGTTAGGTTAGGTTAGGAGAGGACAAGGAGACCCAGGTTCATTGCCCCTCCATCTCCTGCTCTCTTCTTCGACGACTCCTACAGGTAATGTGTAAGTTACTCCGCTCCTCCTTCCTCCTCCTCGCCTTCTTCGTCTCCAAAAGCTCCCTGGTTACCATCGGCAGCGACTCCTTCACCGTTAATGGGGACAGCGTTGGACTCTAGGATGCGGTAGCCCTTATCGTCAGCCTCGTACTTGACGTAGAATTCATCCCCTTCAGGAGACGTCCAGCTGGGGACATGAACGAGGGTGTACTTGAAGATTTCGCATGTTTAAAAATCACCTAACCTAACCTAACCCAACCTAACCTTACAGTATTTTTTTTTAGATTGATATTCTTTGCATTAAATAGTTACTAGGACATTTTTCAAGACTATATTAGACCTTAACAAGAAAATCAGACGGTATTTTAGTCTAGTCTTTTTCCTCTTAAAAAAGGATATTTATTAGTGGGTTTTAATTCTTTAACATATGTAAGATTTTTCTTTGAATTTTCCCTCATATTACAAAATTCAACTCAGAAATCGTCTATTTATTTCATTTAATCGACCTAAGACTCACCTGTAGGAGTCCTCGAACTAAGACTCACCTGTAGGAGCCCTAGACCCAGGACTCACCTGTAGGAGCGCTCTTCCTAGAACTCACCTGTAGGAACCCTCGACCTAATACTCACCTGTAGGAACCCTCGACCTAAGACTCACCTGTAGGAGTGCCTCGCCAGACTCACCTGTAGGAGCCCTAGACCCAGGACTCACCTGTAGGAGCTCCTCGCCAGCCTCGCCCTCCTGCTCATGCTCATGGTCCTCTCCCTCGAAGTCTAAAACGGAGTCAGGTCGAGCCACCACAAGAGCCACCAAGGCGAGGACGGCGACCATTACCTGACGAAGGGAAGACCGAAAACACCTAAAGATAAACAAAAAGAATCAATAGAAGATGAAAGAGAAAAAGAGATGATGATGGTTGGCTGCTTGAGCGTATAGGAAGTAAGGAAAATGGAATAAATAAACAAGAGAAGTCACAGATAATCAGGTAGAGTGTAGGAAGGTGTTGTGAGAGAAGGTAGCGACTCGCTTCTGGTGGGTCATGTGATGTGAAGTAGACTGACTGAAAACACTGAAATATAACCGATGAAAAATACTGAAAAGGTTGATTTTATGAACGACAACAATAACAATTTCGACGACAACGAAAAACAACTACGACGACAGTTTAATGAGATTTATCACTGAAATATAAAACTTAACTCATTAGGTGACACGAATATTGTTTAGTAAAGTTATTGTCATATATAATAATGATAACTTATTACTGTCGTATTTACCAACGTAATACATTACTTACTGTGTATTTCATAGTGGAGGTGAGATGCAAGGAGGATGGTTTAATAGTTATAATGAGGAGCTGCCTGCTGTAGGTGCTGTAGGAGGTGAAGGCGGGTACTGCTACTGATCGAAGTCCTGGCTGGTCTTATATAGCATACTGTAGGGGTAAGGACGACCACGCCTGAGAGATCATACCTCGTCAGCCCTTCTGTGGGTAGGTAGTGGAGTGTAGAAGGCGGTGATCTAGATAAAAAAAATCACCACAATTGTTTCGGGTTTTGTGTGTGTGTGTGTGTGTGTGTGTGTGTTGGTCTATGGCGTCACGAGGTCATGGAACGAAAGGTCATGTTTGTTTATTATGGCAAAGTTATCAACCAATCAAACAAAATTTTACCTTATGTGAACGGAATCTGACCACACAACACACAGTACCACCATCACACATACAATCTTATCTCGCAAAATCACTAATACCTTTAACCAATCCTTACTGATGGGATGTTTTAATAGAGGATGACATTGACCTCCTCTTAAACAGTGTAGTAAGTCAGACGTGGGGGATATAGCCTACTGGTTAACGCCGGTATAGTTCAAGATCACGCCTCTTGCCTTAATCACTCAGGGTAATGTCAGAAATTCTCAACATGAAACTAGTGTAAAGTAATAGTTTTTGTGGTTACTGTTTTTGTTGTGAGTTAGTTGTATTGATACTTGTTCATAGTGAGTTGTGAATGTCAAGGGAGGAATGGCCTTGTGTGTTGGTTCACTTTAAATGTTTATTATTATTAAAGTTGTAAAGTTATACTGTATGATTGTTTGGGTTTTTTTAAAGCTAGGAGTATAACTATCATTATGAAACACACACACACACACATACATACACACACACACACACACACACACACACGCATTTCAAGTAATAATTCCACATTTATTATAACTACTTCCTTATAGTCCTCGTGTGTGTGTGAGCTGCGTCCTTCCCAAGAGAGCGGCGAGGTCTTCTACACGTGTGGTGGGTGAAAGTGTGGGTCGGGTCGTCTAGGTCCAGCGTTCCCACAGTCGCGTAAACTACAACTGGCAGATGATGCATTGGTCACGTCAGGTAAGGCAGAAGGTCAAGGGAGGGGAGGGAAGTGGAAAGACTCATGCATGATCGAGTGAAGGAAGAAGAAGGAAGGAAGTGAAAAGACTCTTGCATGACCGAATGAAGGAAGGGGAGGGAAGGAAGTGAAAAGACTCTTGCATGACCGAATGAAGGAAGGGGAGGGACAAGAAAGACTCATGTATGACAGAATGAAGGAAGAAGAGGAAGGAAGTGAAAGACTCTGTATGATCGAAAACGAAGGAAGAAGAAGGGTAAGAAAGTGAAAGACTCTTGCATGACCGTTCGAAGGAAGAAGATTACAGCTCCTGATCACCAAGGGGACAGTGTGATCTGGACCAGCCACTGACGTACACACAGTCATTCCTGAGGTAAGAGACGGCAGCTCATGACGATACTGAAATATACCTGAATTCATCTCCAAAGGTTAGTTCTGAGTCCACGCCATTGTGTTGGTTCAGTTACGCCATTAAGCGGGGGGGGTTGGGGGTCAGGTTTATGTTATTACTGAGGCAATTCAAGGTCACGCGAGGTTATGCTAGAGTCATGCTAAGACCATATTTGGCACCCCACCCACCCCCCCACACATGGCGACACACACACACTGCAGTTTTTGTTTTTGTTTTTTATGTTTAGTCTGTTGTTGTTTTTGTGAGTTATCCACCGCTGTCACGACCAATCACTGAATATTTCCACACCGCCTTGCACCAATATAATTCCCCGTGACGATGAGGACGGAAGAGAAAGGTATCCCACCGTCTTGGAGACATTATCACCTGGCAATATCAACAGTGACCTAGATCTCCGTGGTCAAGCAGTAATTAACATGTTACCTGGTGCGTCCTGAGAAGAAGGTCAGGTCAGGAAAGACTTAATCACCATGTTACACCTGGCAACACACTGAGGGGGGTGGGTGGGGGGAGCAGTCCGTGGGAAGTGTCTCAGAGACCATAAGGAAATGTTTCTCAGAGACTCTTGACCCCCCACTGTGACCCTGACCTTGACCCCGATTCAAAAATGACCAAAATCTAGTCAGTTGACCTCGAGGAACTGTCCAGATGGCACTGTGAGTTATTAACGAGATATGTTGATGGTGTAGTTGGTGCTAAGAAATACCTCAACTGCGTCATAACGATAATTCTTTATATTTCTGAGTTTCTTGAATATTTTTAATTAATCTCTACATAAGCGATTGTTTAGATAAATATAATGCAAATTCTTAAGTGTATAACCATCAGTACTAACCTCTGTAAGTTCTAATTAAATCTAAACTTAACATAGATAATATTTGGTTGTCCTTAAGATAACAAAGGCCAATCTCACAAAAGGACAATCTCACAAAAGGACAATCTTAGTGAATCATCAAGTCTGTCTCTGGATACTTAGTGACTTAAAGACATACTATGAACAACCTACGGCCGCTTCACACAGCATCTTACCGCTGTCTACCTCTCGCTCAGATAACTACAACTTAGAGATTACTTCTGGTAGTTTTTCTCTGTAGATATGAGAGTTATTACACTTGTAGAATCATTCATTTATCTCCTCATATTTACCAAAACAATGAGTGTCGTGTTCTAGGTGTGGCGTCCCCGTAGTGAATGAGTTAATGTTTTCGTCAAGTGGGATGTGGTGTGGTGTGGGATGTGGTGTGGTGTGGTGGTGTGTGGTGTGGTGGTGTGTGGGTGTGGTGTGTGGTGTGGTGTGGGTGTGGTGTGTGGTGTGTGGTGTGGTGGTGTGGGTGTGGTGGTGGTGTGGTGTGGTGTGGTGTGTGTGTGTGTGGTGTGGTGTGTGTGTGGTGTGTGGTGTTGTGGTGTGGGATGTGGTGTGGTGGGTGTGGTGGTGTGTGGTGTGGGTGTGGTGGTGTGTGGTGTGGTGTGTGGGGTGGTACTGATCTTGTGTTATTTTCTTTACAGATGACGTCACAGCCTTTATACACCGTACTTGGCTATTAACTGTTTCGTAAATCGTGTAAATATGTGTAGTCTTGTGTGAGCTATTTTCATATACCTATACTACTAGCGGATGTACACAAAACCTGTTTTCATTACGAGACTTTATTGTAAAAATAGTGAGTAAACAAGTCAACAGTGAAGTATAATGATCGGAAAATATTAACAAAAACTCCAACAAACAAACAATGGATCATTATTGTCAACAAAACAATATAATGATTAATTGATATAATAAATCCTATAATATAAAATAATACAGTCGTTCCTATACTGTAATTCAAAGACAGAAGTGACGTCACACTCGTCCATACAGTCCGATGTCAGTCAGAGATGACGTCAGGACCTGAGGAGGCTAATAGTTCCTGTAGGATGTGGGAGAGGTCTTGGCAGCTTTCACCAGAGGATCCTATGATACTTTATGAGTCAGGAGTCCTGTCAGCCCTACAACAACGAGAAAAGGAATCCTAACGGCCGCTCGACAGCTCCTCCTACAAGTACCGGTAAGAATTGTGGGTCTGAGGCACAAAAGATCCCTGGTTACCGTCAGCCGCCACGCCGCCATGGGTAAGAGGGACGGCGTTGGACTTGGTGACACGGAAGCCCAGCTCGTCGGCCACGTACTCGACGGTGAATATGACGCCCGTCGGTGACATCCAGCTGAGGAAGAAGTGGCGTTAGTTGACCTGTGTACCAACTGTAATGTATCGCATGAGTTTTAACATTCTCCTGTACAATTAATGTATAATAAGTAGACTCGAGGCAAGAAACAGTGTGTGGGATCTTCCAGTGTTTGTAAACCACCATCAGTTCCTCGGGTCATCACAACTAACAACCTTATATAACACAACTGGTCATCAACAACGTGTTCTTAAACCATAAAACACAAGAGATATGTTTGTTTCACTGACCAAACTAAATCAACAATCGTCGACTTTTTCTCCTTGATGAATATTACGACATATTGATAAGTTTTTTTAAGTGACGCAGTACCTGTAGGAGCCGCGGACGCTGCTGCCTGGGTGACCCTCCTGCTCCTGGGTCTGGTCGTCGGTTTCGAACTCGTAGACAGTGTTGCGACGGGCGGCGGCGAGTGCCATCACTGCCACGAGAGACGCTGCTACCTGAAGACATGGAGGAGGTGGCGTGTCAGTGTAACAATTAAAGACAAAAAGAAGTCATATCCACACACGCACACAGCTCGGAGACTCACCAGGAAGGTCTTCATGGTGTATACGACGGAGGAGGAGGAGGAGGAGGAGGAGGTCTTCGGGTGTGAGTGTAGGTAATATGGACGATACTAAGTGACTAGTGACCGTACAGAGGCTCGTCCATCCTTTATACTGACGCCTTCACCAGTCTGACATTCTCACCAGCAGACACGTGGTGAAGGTGTATACTAATGCCTCCTCTTGCTGGATAATAAACCTGAGGCAAGACTGTGGTTGAGGTGTGAGGGGATGAGGGGTGAGGTGGTGAGGGGGTGAGGTGGTGAGGGAATGAGAGAGTAGGATGGTGAGGTGTAAGATGGTGAGGGGGTGAGAGAATAAGGTGATGAGGGTGAGGTTGGTAAGGGGAACGTGGTAGGGGGTAAACGTAGGGGGGTGAGGGGTAACGTGGTAAGGAGGGGGTGAGGTTCCCATGGTGGTAGTCTTTGTAATATAATGAAAAAGAAAATAACTAACAATACACAACAAACATTTTAATATAAACAACAGACGTATTTTAAGTGATGGTATAAAAGAGAGGAGTGTAGAACCTTCCCTAGAGTGTAGACTGAGAGAAAGAGACAGACAGACAGACAGTCAGACAGTCATACAAACAGTCACAGGGAGATAATCATTTGAGTTAACATTTATTACAGATAAGTCCTAAGTTCTTCTCTCATTAGGGATTATTACTCACAACATTGTAGGTCAAAGGTTATGAATGGTGATTAATGACCCACCTGTATGGTAACAATTAAGTATTTGTTATCCAGTTGATTTGTTATCACTGTTGTTGATAATTTACACTAACAAGGAATGAAGAAAGTGTATGAGTGTGTCAGTCACCACGTCACGTTCCTCACAGCTGGGTTTACTGGCCGACACACGCTGATGACGCCTAATAAACACGGGTTTACGGCCTATGTGACGTCACCGTTGACACATACACGCACTCTCTCTCCTTTATACTTGACAGTAAACAAAGAGTTGCCAACTACTTATATTACGTGAGTGATCTTCAACCATGATACCCGAGTGAGGAGAGTGAGCAGAGTGAAGAGAGTGAGCAGAGTGAAGAGAGTGAGCAGAGTGAAGAGAGTGAGCAGAGTGAAGAGAATGAAGAGAGTGAAATAGGTTAACAGTCAAACTCCTGACCAATATATTAATGGTTTATCATAACGAGTGAGGTGACAGTAATATCCTGAGTGTGTTGTGTTGTGTTGTAGACGTGGGTCAGTTATACAATTATGTAGACGTGTATAGTGCTGAATTTACACACACACACACACACACAGTGAAAGCGCATGAAATAACTCCCTCGCCCTTCGGTCTGAGGTGAACAAGTGACTGACACAGAGAGAGAGACTTTTACAATGCTGAAAATAATTTTATACCAGGATATATTCTTCCTTGTCGACTTAAAGGTATACAGGAAACACACACACACACACACACACACACATACACACACACACACATACACACATACACATATACACACACGCGTGAGATGCAGACAATTTTTCTTCCTCCCACACCTTAAAAATTCACCTCCAAGGATCATAAAATTTAGAATTAACAGTGAGGGAAAGTTTGTAGTGTGTGTGTGTGTGTGTGTGTGTGTGTGACTAAGCACCCAAACAACTGTACCTGTGACTATTAGGTTAATTTAGGTTAATCATTTTATAAAAAAAAAAATGGGTGTCTAATCTTCAGGTGATCCAAATATTGTACCAAACATAAATACGAATGAATTACACAGGATATTTTTTGTTAACGAAACTTTTATATAGAAATGTTATAACTCTGAGTTTATTAAGTTCTTCTAAATGTTAAAATAATCAAACCTTGGAAAATTTAACTTAAACAGCTTCAAGGTACAGATAGATTATATTGTTAATTTTTTTAGATGTTTTAGAGAACATAAACTAATGTTGAATGTTGAAGGAAGCTTAGGATGTTTATACCCAATGGCAATGTTATCTATGAATTACAAATACAAACACACAAGAATTTATGATAATCTGATGTTTATTTAACACAGCCATGATAAACAAACATTGTACGAGGGAAGAACTAGATTGTGGTAATTGAGTTGTTTACCTGTCGTCTCGTTTAGGTGAGGTGTCTGAGGTGTGTGTGTGTTGGTACAGTAGTTGGGTGATTGTGATGCTTCATAGCCCAGACGGGTGACGGCTGGAGGTAGTGATGGAGGTGTGGGAGTGAGGTGTGAGGGAGTGAAGTGTGTGGGAGTGAGGTGTGGGGGAGTGAGGTGTGAGGGAGTGAAGTGTGTGGGAGTGAGGTGTGAGGGAGCGAGGGTAAGTAATTCCCTATGTGTTCATAGTTACGATGTTTAAGGACTCAGTATATATAATATGTTAGTGAATATTATATGGAGCTGCAGTCTTTAGTTGTTGACTCCACAAAAATACGATTATATTTAAGGCATTCTTTCGGGGACGTGATATTACGATGGTGGAGTGGAGTGGGAGTAGGAGTGAAGTGGAGTAAATTGCAGTGAAGTGGAGTGGAGTGGGAATGAAGTGGAGTAAATTGGAGTATATTGCACTGGAGTGGAGTGGAGTGGAGTGGAGTGCCTTATCTGGGGTCATATTAGGTGCTGAAAATGACCTCTATTCTGGTACTAATTAATTGTTTAAACATAAGATGAAAGTGAATTAAATAATGATGTATGGAACATCTTGAGGTAGTGTAGTGGGTGTACTCTACCTGGAGGGTGTACTCTACCTGGAGGGGTGTACTCTACCTGGGGGGTGTACTCTACCTGGGGGGTGTACCTGGGGGTGTGCACCACTGGGGGTACTCTACCTGGGGGTGTACTCACTGGGGGTGTACTGTACCTGGGGTATACTCACCTGGGGTGTACTCCTGGGGTGTTCACCTGGGGGTGTACTCTACCCACTCTACCTGGGGTGTACTCTACCTGGGGGGTGCACACCTGGGGGTGTGTCTACCTGGGGGTGTACTGCACCTGGGGTGTGGGGTGTACTCTGCCTGGGGGTGTACTCACCTGGGGGGTGTACTGTAATCACCTGGTGACCTGGGGTACTCTCACCTGGGGGTGTACTCTCACCTGGGGGTAACCTGGGGGGTACTGCTCTGCACGGTGTAACCTGGGGGTGCACTCAGCCTGGGGAATTCAATACTCTACACTCAACCTGGGGTGCACTCTGCCTCTGGGGGTGTACTCACCTGGGGAAGTGCTCACCTGGGGGGGTGTGCTCTGCCTGGGGGTGCACTACCTGGGGGTATGCTCTCACCTGGGGGGTGCACTCTACCTGGGGGTGTACTCTACCCTGGGGGGTGCACTTACCTGGGGGGTGTACTCTACCTGGGGGGTGTACTTACCTGGGGGGTACTCACCTTCTCACCTGGAGGGTGTACCTCTCTGCCTGGGGGTGTACTCTACCTGGGGTGCCTCTACCTGGAGGGTGTACTCTACTGGAGGGTGTACTCTACCTGGGGGTGTACTTACCTGGAGGTGTACTCTACCTGGGGTGTACTCTACCTGGGGGTGTACTCTACCTGGGGTGTATGTACTCACTACCTGGGGGGTGTACTCTACCTGGGGGGGTGTATTCTACCTGGGGGGGTGTAGTCAGTAGCTGTGTACGGTGAGTATTTCTTCACCAGGTCTGATATATGTTGATACAGAACCTGATTATTTTTCCTGTTAGTTCTGAACGTCTCATTTAAGGAGCTTAGCGTGGATGTAGTTTCTGATGATTAACCTAACCTAATCTAACCTAACCTGACCAATACACACACACACGCACACAGTAAACCTCTATGTCTGGGTGTCTTTGTCTGTATAGCATTTGGTATAACACTTAATCTTCTTCGATACCAGTTGCCTGCATCTGTGTCTGAATTTATTTAAGACAGATGAGTACCAGATTGATGTTCCCACCTGTTGTCTGAATATGTGTCAGACATCATGGTACCAGAATTTCCCACATTGCTGGCTCGTGATTTGCTATAAAGTATGAAGCCTTATGTGTGTGTGTGTGTGTGTGTGTGTGTGTGCGTGTGTTAAGACTCTCGGCTTCCTTAAGAGTGTCAGTATTACTCTTCTACATACAACAGTTTAAAGTTAGTTCACTGCTCTATTGGTTCACATTACATATGAACACATTCTTGAACATCATTCTTGAACATCTCAGTGAGTCTGGTGGTTCTCCCTTGTCTCTCTGTCTCCCGGCTTATTATCTCACTGTCTCCTCATTCTCCGTGGAATATCAGAGACCAAGCCTTCGTTGACCTTAGATTTCATAAGTATGGTGACCTGACCTCCTGAACTCACTCCATTTTAGGGGAGGGGCGTTGTTCAAGCAGTTCTTCCCCCTCCCTCCCCCCTCCCTCTCTCTCTCCCCCCTCCCCCTTCACTCCAAGTCCCTCCCTCCCCCCTTCTCTCCTCCCCAGGGTCGTGACACCTGGTAGGAAGGTAAGAAGGTCGGGAGTGTCATGCACCTGTTCCCCTAACACCTGTTTACATCACCTGTTGTACCCCCAAATTCTATCCTTAAACATCTGGTCTCCTAATTACCTGCTCGTTGTTACCTGTCCTCTCAGATACACCCATATTTTAACACCTGTCCCATAACTGCTGCTAATTAACACCTGTTTGTTGATACCTCTCTGTTTGTTACTTATCTGTTACTTCTACCTATCGTCTGTCAACATCTGCCTGTCAATACCTGTCTAACAATCCCTATATCTGCCTATTAACATTTGTTTCTCCTGTATTTGGATTTCACATCTGTCTATTAACACCTGTCATTTACATCTGTTTATTAATTACTGCTTCTGTTTATTACATCCGTCTTTTCAACTCGACAGTCCTATCTGTCTATTATCACATGTTAGTCTACACCTGTCAATACCTGTCACTCATTACCTAACAATGAACACATGTCCCTAAACACAAGTGAATTAAACGTCTCCAGCATCTGTCAATAAACACCTGTCCCTTAACATCTGTCAATAAACATCTATCCTTCAACATCTATCAATAAACATCTATCAGTAAACACTTGCCTTAACACCTGTCAATAAACACCTGTCTTAACATCTGTCAACAAACACCTGTCTCTTTACATATTATTTTCACACATTTCTGAAGAATAACAAAAACACTTCGACAAAAATGATTTATTCAGCACAAGTGACACATAACAAGAACTCGAACACCGTTAAGTATCGAAGACTCTTTTTAAAACACTCTGTCATCAAAAATAAAAGCTCTATTTATCTAACTATCTATCTATCTAGCTATATATCTATCTTCTCTTAGACGTATATATTCAGGTTCGTGTTTATCACAAATTTGAACTTTTTGTTTTCATGTAGCGTTTTGTTACCCTGTGAACGCTCCCTCTACTCATTCGTTCATTCCTCCACTTCCCCGTTCTCTCCTCCACTTCCCCGTTCACTCCTCCACTTCTCTGTTCACTCCTCTACTTCTTTGGTCAATTGTTCTCTCCTTCATTCATTCTTTCATTCATCCTTCCAGACAATTTTACGTTCATACATTTTATGCCTTTTATGTCACTCCTCCCTCAACGCCATTCCCTCCGTCAGCTCAAGGATCACTTCTCGTCTTCGTAGGAGGTGAAGGAGCCCTGGGTACCATCGGCGTACACTCCGTCAGCGTTGAGGGGGACGGCGTTAGACTCGAGGACCCTGTAGCCGTTCTTGTCAGCCACGTACCGCACCAGGAAGTTGACACCTTCAGGAGACGTCCACCTGCGGAAGGGAAAAGATAGTGGTGAGTGTCTAGTGGTGGTGGCGAGTGTTGGAGAGGGACGAAATGGTGGTGGTAGTGTTGGTGGTAGTGGTGAGGGTTTGAGAGGGAGGAATTAGTGATCATGAATCTTCCACATTAGCTGGGGGAGTTTCCTGAAGGAGGGAGGGAGGGAGGAAGGGAGGGAGGTATGAATGACGGAGGTATAAGGAGGGAGAGAGTGAAGGTGACTCTAACATCCTCGCTATGCTCCTTTCTCCTCCCCTTCTTTGCCTTCTTTCTCTCCTCTGCCTACATACCAGTTCCCTCCTATCCTCCTCCTCTCTCACCTGTTCGGTAGACGTGTGGTCAGTACATTGTGGTCCCGAGCAATGAAAAGTTTCAGGAATTTTGTGCGATTGTCGAGGTAAGAGCACTGTTAAACTTTTCAGAACTGCCGGGTAAATATACGAACTGTTTCTCACGAGATATTGAAGGTCAGCATAACATTACCAGCAAATTTCCTACACCGAAACTCCTTAAGAATTGCTAAGTAAATACACAAAAGGTCTTATTCACAGCTATTCAAGGTCATGATTAAACCATTACAAAAATCTCCCGTGTAAATATGCTAATAGTTCCGCACAAGACATCAGAGGTCAATATAACATTACTAATAAGTCTACCACAGCGGATCTCTTTAAAACTGCGGTACAAATACACAAACTGTTTGGCTCACGACTTCATGAAAGGTCAGTACTACACCTTCCATAAAGGCACACTGTATTGTTCAAGCAAAAACACGAGTCAAACTCTTTAAAACTGGATGTAAATTCACGAACTGTTTGAATCATGAGATGTGTAAAGGAACAGTTACACCAGCATTAAAATTTATTGCAGTGGAGAAGCAAAATGCGACGAAACTCTACAAAACTACGACGTAAATATGCAAAATGTTTGGCCCATGACATTGTTAGAGTTCTTTCCCAACCGAGGAACAATGGCGCCGGTTAGTTTTTTACTTGAGGCAACAAAGAAATGTCAGAGACGAAAGTTTGCTCTGGGTTAAGTGCCTCAAGGTCTGTGATCAGTGTTGAGGACCCCACCCAAAGGGCTGTTCAGGTTTAAGGGTGCTGGTTAATGGCTCTCTAGGGGTTAAGGGTGGTGAGGGTTGATTGGTGGTGTTAAAGGCTGGCTGTTTAGGGCTAAGGGTGCTCAGGGCTGGCTGTTCAGGGCTAAGGACTGTTTCTTATATTTATCTCTCTCTCTCTCTCTCTCTCTGGGTCAATGAACTTATCTATCTCTCTCTTATCTACTAGTCTCTCTCTCTTATCTACTACTCTCTCTCACTTATCTACTACTCTCTCTCACTCCTCCCTCTCTTCTCCTGCACCCTAAGACACGCCCACCTCCTCACGTCACCACTTACCCGTAGGACCCCGTGATGGCAGAGCCTGGGTCACCTTCCTGCTCGTGGTGATGGTCGTCAGCTTCGAAGTCAAGGATAGGTCCTGGATGGCCAGACACCCGGGCCACCAGGGCCACTATGGCCACCACAACAACCTGACGAAGAGATGGAATGGGGAAAAACAATATCACGAATCTGAGAAACCGATTTTACGTCCACCAAAATCTGTGAGTAGAATTTTTGGTTCTTAGTTGTTTATATAATACACTAGCATGCTATTGTTTACAAGGGGTGATGCTATTGTTTACAAGGGGTGATGCTATTGTTTATAAGGGATGATGCTATTGTTTATAAGGGATGATGCTATTGTTTACAAGGGGTGATGTTATTGTTTATAAGGGATGATGCTATTGTTTATAAGGGATGATGCTATTGTTTACAAGGGATGATGCTGTTATTTATAAAGGGGTGACGCAACACTTACATCAGGAGGTAAACAAAAACAAACAATGTGGCAAAATTACATCTCGGGTCAACACTACAGTATGTAAGTAAACAATGTTGGAAGGAAATTATTCAAAAACAAACAATTACTCTAGTTGTTTCCTTACTCGTCTCCTTCATTATTGTTTACACGAGGGTCACAAACTACCGTATTAATGGAGTTTTTTTTTTATGTTGAATTGTCTACACGTGGATCATAACTAAGGCGTAAAAACACGACACCAAACAAGCAGACAATTGTTATACTAAGGTGATATGAGTGACAATTATAGCAAAAGCAGAAATGGTAAACAATTTAACCCACCTTGAGGACGCCCATGTGAGGAAGATTCCGCAGGAGGCGCTGGTGGGGAGTGAACCGGGCACCTCCAACCTGTGTGGCTTTTATACCTGTCGCCCTCACCTGACCTCCGCCCCCTCACGAGGCCACGGAGGAGGAGGAGGAGAGATGGAATGCCCGGACACGCTCTACCAATCATGTCTGGCCACGCCTTTGTGATATGTGTGTGTGTGTGTGTGTGTGTGTGTGTGTGTGTGTGTGTAATTAATGAGATAAAAGTTACCATCTTTAGGGAATTTTGGACAATTTGTTAGAAGTGTCAGTCAGTACCTCAACCAGAAAGTGTCAGTCAGTGCCTTAACCGCTAGGTGTTTGTAAAGGAAAGTGACTACTGTTTATGTAAGAGCTTGACGTCACCCCCTGCCCCTCACCCTCTGCCCCTCACACCCTGCCCTTCACCCTCATCCCCCCCCCGTCACTCATCCTCTGCCCCTCATCTTCTGCCCCTCATCCTTCTGCCCTCACCTCCTGCCCCTCACCTTCATCCTGTCCTCCTACCCCTCACCCCCTATCCTCACCCCTGCCCTCACCTCCTGCCCCTCACCTCCTGCCCCTTACCTTAATCCTTTCACCCCTACCCCTCACACCTACCCCTCACCTCCTGCCCCTCACCTTCCTGCCCCTCACCTCCTGCCCCTTATCCCTTATCCCTCACCCCAGCCACTCACCTGCCCCTCGACCCATGCTGATTACGGAACACCTGTCGAGTAACGCAATAAACAAGTAACGTAACCTACCTGCCTGCCACGTAACCTGATATAACTTACCTGTTGAGTAATGGAAAAGAGTCTACCTGTCGAGTATGGTGGTATCTTCTCTCTCTCTCTCTCTCTCTCTCTCTCTCTCGCCACATAAAAGAGACTCAAAAGGTTAAAAATCACAAGTCTCACACGAAATCAACACAACTTTTTTGAGCGTTGATCTGAAATGAAAACTCACGGGCGTACACAGAGAGAGAGAGAGAGAGAGAGAGAGAGAGAGAGAGAGAGAGAGAGAGAGAGAGGGGGTGATTCAAGGTTCACCTCTGCTCAGATGTTTTAACACACACACTTGTGCAGGACGAAACATCCGGTCACGCAATGTTTGTTCCTCCTGTAAGTGAGAGAGGCGAAGGAGAGAGGGGGGAGGAGGGGAGGAATGAAGGATGAGAATGAGAGAGAGAGAGAGGAGGAGGAAGAGGGGAGGAATGAAGGGAAGAGAGAGAGAAAAATCTTCCATCTCAAACACTGTTATTTGCATATAGTTAAAAAGTTGTCTTGTTGTGAAAGAGTTCGAGTGATTTATTATAGTCTCCTCCCTGTGTGTGTGCGTGTGTGTGTGTGTGTGTGTGTGTGTGTGTGTGTGTGTGTGTGCGTGCGTGTGTGTAAAAGTGTGTTAGCCTACAATACGTGGATAGTTGAACACTTAAATAGGATGTACACACACACACACACACACACACACACACACACACACATCCGTTCAACAATTGCGTGACTCAGTTCACGAGTTCAGATTACAAGATGGGCGTGGCACTCAATCTTCTCTCCCCTTCTCCCCCTCCCCTTCCTCCCTCCTCAATCTCCCCTTCACTCCCCACCACTCCCTTCTCACCACTCCTCCCCTTCTCCACCTTCCACCCTCCCTCTCCCCACCACTCTTCTCACTCCACCTCCCGTCCCCTTCACCCCTCCCTCTCCCCACCACTCCCCTTCACCCACCTCCCTTTCCCCTTCAACCCTCCCTCTCCCCACCACTCCCCTCTTCACCCACCTCCCCTTCACCCTCCCCCCTCTCCCCACCACTCCCCAACACTAACCCTAACCATCCCCACTTCCCCATCTCTCACTCTTCTCTTATCTCTTCACTCCATCCTATTACCTCACCCCTTTCCTACCTACTAATATCTGTCTTCACACCCGGAGTCCTAAGGACTGCCGGTGAGGTAAGAGGTGTTGTGGAGGTAACAAGTGTTGTGAGGTAACAGGTGTTGTGAGGTAACAGGTGTTGTGAGGTAACAGGTGTTGTGGGAGGTAACAGGTGTTGTGAGGTAACAGGTATTGTGAGGTGTGTTGTGAGGTAACAGGTGTTGTGAGGTAACAGGTGTTGTGAGGTAACAGGTGTTGTGAGGTAACAAGTGTTGTGAGGTAACAGGTGTTGTGAGGAGGTAACAGGTGTTGTGAGGTAGTGTTGTGAGGTAACAGGTGTTGTGAGGTAACAGGTGTTGTGAGGTGTTGTGAGGTAACATTGTGAGGTAACAGGTGTTGTGAGGTAACAGGTTGTGAGGTAACAGGTGTGTGTAACAGGTGTTGTGAGGTAACAGGTGTTGTGAGGTAACAGGTGTTGTGAGGTAACAGGTGTTGTGGGAGGTAACAGGTGTTGTGAGGTAACAGGTGTTGTGAGGTAACAGGTGTTGTGAGGTGTTGTGGGGTAACAGGTATTGTGAGGTAACAAGTGTTGTGGGAGGTAACAGGTGTTGTGAGGTAACAGGTGTTGTGAGGTAACAGGTGTTGTGAGGTAACAAGTGTTGTGAGGTAACAGGTGTTGTGAGGTAACAGGTGTTGTGAGGAGGTAACAGGTATTGTGAGGTAACAGGTGTTGTGAGGTAACAGGTGTAACAGGAGGCAATGTAACAGGTGTTGTGAGGTAACAGGTGTTGTGAGGTAACAAGTGGGGAGGTAACAGGTGTTGTGAGGTAACAAGGTTGTGAGGTAACAGGTGTTGTGAGGTAACAGGTGTTGTGAGGGGTAACAGGTATTGTGAGGTAACAAGTGTTGTGAGGTAACAGGTGTTGTGGGGAGGTAACAGGTGTTGTGAGGTAACAGGTGTTGTGAGGTAACAGGTGTTGTGAGGTAACAGTTGCTGTGAGGTAACAGGTGTTGTGAGGTAACAGGTGTTGTGAGGTAACAGTTGTTGTGGGAGGTAACAAGTGTTGTGAGGTAACAGGTGTTGGTGAGGTAACAAGTGTTGTGAGGTAACAGGTGTTGTGAGGTAACAGGTGTTGTGAGGTAACAGGTATTGTGGAGGTAACAAGTGTTGTGAGGTAACAGGTGTTGTGAGGTAACAGGTGTTGTGAGGTAACAGGTGTTGTGAGGTAACAGGTGTTGTGAGGGTTGTTGTGAGGTAACAAGTGTTGTGAGGTAACAGGTGCTGTGAGGTAACAGGTGTTGTGAGGTAACAGGTATTGTGAGGTAACAGGTGTTGTGAGGTAACAGGTGTTGTGAGGTAACAGTTGTTGTGAGGTAACAAGTGTTGTGAGGTAACAGTTGTTGTGAGGTAACAAGTGTTGTGAGGTAACAGGTGTTGTGAGGTAACAAGTGTTGTGAGGTAACAGGTGTTGTGAGGTAACAAGTGTTGTGAGGTAACAAGTGTTGTGAGGTAACAAGTGTTGTGAGGTAACAGGTGTTGTGAGGTAACAAGTGTTGTGAGGTAACAGGTGTTGTGAGGTAACAAGTGTTGTGAGGTAACCGGTGTCGTGAGGTAACCGGTGTCGTGGGAGGGTCGTGATATACAGACATAGTTCGGTGACCTCATTTGACCTAAAGGTTGACCTCTTGCCTGACCCGATTGACACACTCTGGTTCCCTTCCCCTTCCCTCCGACACTTTAAAAGGTCGTGTGTTGCGGCTCAGAGTTGACGGGATGCTGTATGTATGTATGTATGTATGTATGTATGCATGTATCAGTGTGTGTACGTGTGTGTGTACCAACTATTAACCCTACATGTCAACATAAGTAACCGTATTTAATTTCATATACAGGGTCAACCAAAAAATAAATAAAAAATACCCAAATTTTAATAAACAAATCTTTAAAATCTGGACACTGTTTTTGGATGACCCTGTACAGTTTTGGGTCACACTGTTAACACGACGCAGTGGTGTGTGACGCCTTCAATGGTGTGTTTAGTTGACTTCCTTCTACTTCTACTCCTTTTCCTCCTTTACTCCTTCCCCCTCACCTCTTCTCTTCTCCTGGTCCTCCTCCTCTTCATTCCCCCTTCTACTTCCTTTGCTCCTTCCCCTTCCCCTATTCCTCTGGTCCTCCTCCTCTGCCTCCTCTGCTCACCATCCCACCCCCTTTTCTAAACCCCTTTCCCCTTTACTCCCTTTAACATTTATCTCTACTTTCTCCTTCCCTTACTTCCCCTCTCTACTTCCTCTCTCTTGTTTCCTATCCCTAAAACCTCCTCCTCCTCCTCCTCCTCCTCCCCACACACACACCTGCTCTCGTTATCAACATTACTACCTGTCATTACAGCCGTCACATCGAGGTCATTAAAGATCCCGAATGATGTTCGTGTGTGTGTGTGTGTATGTATGTGTGTATGTGTGTGTATGTGTATGTGTGTGTGTGTGTGTTGGCCAACTTTAGACCGTTTTAATAGCAGGGGGGAAGTCCCGGATATGTTTACTCTGTGGGTACAACAAATCCGGATTCGTGTGTGTGTTACCTGTGCGAACGGTAAAAAAATTTAATCATCTTAAGTTTTATTGCAAGAACGGTGATGCGGATTTGTTTATTACCTGCATAAACAACTGATGGGATGACACTGTGTTAAGGTTGTTAGAGTGTCCTGTGGTTGTGATGTGTTGTGGTTGTTGTTGGTGGTGAAATTGTTATTAATTATGATTATTGTTGTTATTTGTGTGATTTTTGTTATTGATGATGTTGTTATTGTGGTTGTTGTTGTTGCCGTAGTAGTTATTGTTATTGTTGCTGGTAGTAGTGGTGGTTGTGGTTCATTATCAATATAACTCATCCACCACGTCATCACCTGTCGTCAATGTCTTTATCAACATGATATAACACAACCAACTCGTCTATTGTCATACTATCATGCTGTGTTAAAAATCATGACACACACACACACACATTAACATGGTAATTACGTCACACAATGCCTTGTTAACCACACCATATTAACTTATAACAAACAAGTATAATAATTTAACTTCCTGAATACACTAATTTAACTTACAAAAGATTAAGTATATAAGAGATAATGGCTTCCTGATAATTATATTTT